CTCACGACCTGGAGAGAAGGGTTCAAAGCATGGACCTAGAGCAGGTCCCCACGGAGCAAATGAAGGCCCAGAGACCTGGGGACGAGGGTTGAAGACTCCGAGGCAGCCAGCTGTCTTGGAGAAGACGTGCACAGGTTTGGGTGAAGTTTCTGGAAGCTTCTGATGGCTGCACAGTGCGGGGAGAAGGGATGCTCTTGGGTGGACCTGGGTTGTCTTTGGTGCTGGAGATGGAGCCCAGGGCCTCGTGCAGACTATGCACATGTACCCCAGCCCCCCGTCACCCCACTTTTTGCTGCCTGTTCCACGTTGGCCTGCTTGACCTGGACAAGCTGAGTTCAGGTCTCCTGTCCTCCAGCCCACAGGAGATCAGAAGCAAATCACAAGTGTGATGCCTGTGGCTGCGACTAGTGTGGTGACAGTGACAACTGCAGATGGCTCCTGACTGAGGGTGGCTCAGCTTGGGATTTTCCAACTTACTGGTGGCACAGAAGCGTACTCATATAGCTGTCCTGTTTTCAGTTCCAGTGCAGTTTGGATAAATGACACGAGGCAGTCAACACTTTAGTATAAAATAGGCTTTGTGTGCGATGGTTTTCGTGCCCCTGTGGAGTGATGTCAGAGGGGTTTTTTGTTTGTTCGTTTTGCGGTACTGGGGTTTAAACTCAGCGGCCTCGCACTCAACCACTTTGCTTTTTTGTTTGTGTTTCAGATAGGGTCTCATGCTTTAGCCCAGGCTGACTTGAACCGTGATCCTCCTATTTCTGCCTCCCAAATAGCTGGGATTACAGGCTTGTGTCACCACACCCAGCCGCTAACATTAGTGGTTGGAGCCTCTTTAAAGGAGGCGAGGCTGAGCTGTGAGGTTCGGTGGGTTAGGTGTATTCAATGATATTTTCAACCTAGAGTGGATTTATTGGGATGTGACCCTGTCATAAGCAGAGGAGCATCTGTACACTCTTATTACTCACTATTACTACTATTATTTTTGAGACAGGGTCTTGCCGTGTAGCCCAGGCTGACCTCAAATTCGTGATCCTCCTGCCTCTGCCTCCCAAGTGCTGGGATTACAGGTGTGCACCACGATGTCCAGCACCTATTATAATTTATTTATTTGTTTATTTAGCAGTACTGGGGTTTGAACTCAGGGCCTCACACTTGCTAGGCAGGTGCTCTACCACTTGAGCCACTCCACCAGCCCCCCGATTACCTCTTAAAGCACTCCCAACACTGCCAATGGTGATTAAATTTCAACATGAACTTGGGGAGGAAAGAAGCCATATTGAAAGCATAGCATGGTTCTCGCTCTCTGCATTTCTCTTCCTTCTGTCTTGTTTTCCCCACTGCTCTCTGCCCTGCCTGCCTGGCCTCAGGTTTTTCTTTTGCCTCAGTGGTGGGCTGTCCTCGGACCCCTTGCCTCCGGACCATTGCCTCCACCTGGGGCACCTCCTCCTTGCCCACTCCTGCTGTGGAACCTTTGCAAGCCAGCCTGGCCTTGGCAGCCCCAGGGCTGGGCTCCTGTCCAGCGCTGTGTGCATGACCGGACAGTGCCCAGCTGGTCCCACAGGCCAGTGCAGGCCTTGCTCCTCCCAGGAGCAAGACACCAAAGGCTGCCATTGGTCCCAGCCTGGCAGGGCTGTCCCAAGGAAGCCAAGGCCAGGGAGGGTGGGGAGGGAGAGAGAGGCCGGGAGAAAGCCGCCCTTCCTGTGGTGCCTACTGATAATTGGCTCTCTGGGACTGGTGGGGACACGAGGGCCAGCTGGGGCAGGAAGTGGTATACAATGCCACTCATTCAGGGGACCCACTGCTGATCTTAGGTCCCGTGTGACTCCAGACAAAGCTGGAGAACAGGCTGTTCTCAGAGGATGTTCGCTAAGCCAGAACCCTCTCCGAGGTGAGACACAGAACCCCAGTTCCCACCCTTTCCCCGGGACACCCCACTTGGCATCGGGCTCAGACGAGAGAGTGCCGTCAGAGGCTGGGCTGCCAGGACGGGGAGGAGCAGCTGCTTCTGAGCGGCTGTGACTTGTGCACCTGCGACCTCACGGGGAGCTGGGAACCAGTGAGGCCTGACATTTATTAAGGCTCCACCCTGGCCCAGCTCGGCCCACAGAAGGCTTTCAATTTTGGTAAGCAGAAAGGCAGTGAACTCAGTGTCAGACACACTAAGAGAAATAAGCACTCAGCAGGGCGTGATGGCTCACGCCTGTAATCCCAGCAGGGACAGGAGGATCAAGAGTTCTAGGCCAGCCCAGTTCTAGTTTAGTGAGACCCTGTCTCAAATATAAACTAAGAAAACAGAAGGGTTCAAGTGGCAGAGCACCTGCCTAGCACGTAAGGCCCTGGGCCCAGGCCCACATGGTGCCCCTAAGCCCTGAGAGCTGTGACACACAGCCAGGCTTCAGCCTTCAGCCACAGCGTGGCCTCTGCTTCCTGCACACATACATCCCCTCCGGGAGGGCCGCTGAAAGGATGTTGGCTGTACAAACGACAGCCCTTGGAAGCCTCCCCAGCTGCAGAATGGGTCAGGGTCAAGGGTCGAGGGCAACAGGCAGGGTCAGTGGGGCCTGCAGTGCCTGTGGTTTAGGAAGCAAATTCTGCCCGTAATTGAGTGGTGGGCCAGGCCTGGTCAGTTGCGTTGGAGCCATCTGGGAGGCCGTGACTGAAGCCCACACTTATAGGCGGGCACTGTGCCACCTGAGCCACACCCCCAGTCCTTTTGCTTTTAGCTTGTTTTTTAGATAGGGTCTCATGTTTTTTGCCTGAGCCAGCTTCAGACCTGATCGTTCGACTTCCACCTCCCAAATAGCTGGGATTGCAGATGTGCAGCCCCATGTCTGTCTTGTTCTTTGAGAAAGGATCTTGCTAGAGGCAAGAGGATCGAAAGCCTGTTCTCAGAGGATGTCTGAGAACAGAGGGTGGGCTGTCTTCAAGCCAAGAGCTCTTTCTATGTCCACTTCCCACATGGCTGGGATTACAGGTACGTACACCCTGGCCTGTCGAAATAAGCAAGTCCTCATTCAGGAGGATGGAAGGGCATTTTATCAGGCTCCTCCCCTGCTCAGGAGCCTTCTGTGGATCCCCAGTTCCCATCATATCATGACTCCTTGCCCTGACATTCGGCCAATGCAGTGTAAAACGAGAGAGGGACCTACAAGTCACCTAACCAAGCTTGAGTCTATCAGTCTTTTTCGAAGTCACCCAAGTGGGGACTTACCAATGGAGTGATCTGCCATCCAGGGTTTATTGACTTCAGAATATCCATGGAATGATGGCACAGAGCGGGGGTGGGGGTGGGGGGGTGTCTGCAACACAGCTGGACAGAGCCCTGGGCCACCTCCTGTGGTTGTAATTGGTTTTGATTTTGGTGGGGTGTTTGGCTTTTTGTTTTTTGTTTGGTTTGGTTGAGACAGGCTCTTACTCTGCAGCCCAGCCTGGCCTCCACCTCTCAAGTCTCCTGCCTCAGCCTCTTGAGTGCTGGGATTACAGGCATGAACCACCAGGCTCAGCCTTACCACCTGGTTTTGAAAATAAAGTTTTATTGGGACACAGCCACGCTCACTTGTTTACATGGGTCTTCAGTGGCAGAGTTGAGTGACAGCATTGGAGACCATGTGACCAACAAAGACTTGTGAATTTATAACTGGCTATCCACAGAAAGTGTTTGCCTGCAAGTTTGTAATACTCAATGCGTGAACTTGTAAGACCAGCCCTCATATTTGTGGATATTTGGGTTTTTCCATAATAAAAATTATAACATGCTTGACCTAGCAACACTGATCAGTTAATAAAAAGATATTGAGCCAAGCATGGTAGTGCACACCTGTAATCCCAACAGACAGGAGGTGAGTTCCAGTCCAGCCTAGGCTACACAGCCAGATGCTGTCTCAAAAAAAAAAAGATGCAGGTACAAAAGCTTCCTAAAGAGTTTACAGTGGGAGAAAACACGGGAAATAAATGACTGTCTACCAGTACAGAAATGCTTGCATAAATCATTCCCCACACAGCGTGGAATAGTATGCTGCTCTTAAAAGGACGAACCAGAGTTTAATGCTGCACTGGGAGAAGACTCCACGAGATCTTTTCTAATGAAAACAGCAAGGTGGAGAAGCATGTAGAAAGCATGGTAGTCCCATGTTGACAGAACAGTGGGAAAGTTACCCTTCAGCGTGTAGGCGTGGGAGTGTGCCCAGGATCCTTGATGGGTTGTCCACGTGGTCTGGGGATGAATGATGTACCCGGAAAGAAATTCCACTTAAGCAAACAGCCATTGGGTGCGGTGCAGTGGCTCACGCCTATAATCCCAGCTACTAGGGAGGCTGAGATCAGGAGGATCACAGTTTAAGGCTGAGACCCCCATCTCTAAAAATAACCAGAGCAAAATGGACTGGAGGTGTGGCTCAAGTGGTAGAGCACCCGCTTTGCCCTGAGTTCAAAGTCCGGTCTCACCAAGAAGTAAGCTAAAAATAAAAAAAAGAGCCAGCATTATAAAACCATCTGGAAGGCCATCTCCTTCGTGTCCTTAAGGAAGGAAAAGAGAATTGCTCTGGACTCGCACAGTGGCCCAGGGTGGCTGGCTGGGGGAGGCCAGGATGGAAGGTTTGGAGGTGACAGGGGCAGCGGGGTGCTTACTCTCTGGGCCACAGTCACCCTGCCACCAGAGCCCCTTCCTCCTGTCCCCTGGGAATGAAAAGCCTTTCTTTGTGCGGCTTTAATTGTCACGCTGCCATGCCAAGTCAGTGAGTGCAGGCGGGTGCGACAACTGGGCACAGCCAATGCCAGGCAGCAAAACCCGCTCCCAAAGGCCAGCCTGGGCCAGCTGGGGCCAGAGGGGACTGGGGGGACCAGGGGGACCGCCACCCACCTCTGCTCTGCCCCAGCTGGGCACCTAGAGCCAGCCGGGTGTCAGGGGCCTGAGGACCATTAGAGGCAGGGACAAGGGGCGGGCACCGAGGGAGACTTTTATTTTTCTGTCCCCCACCCCTCCCCATCTTGTTTTGCAGACCGTCAGCATCAATAAGGCCATCAACACCCAAGAAGTGGCCGTGAAGGAGAAACACGCCAGAAATATCCTTTTGGATGTGTGGCTTGGAAGACTGACCCTGACGGGGGTCGAGCAGTGGGGACTGAGGTCAGGGTGACAGCAAAGGGAACCCCCACCTGGGCCTGGTGTCTGCAGACTGGAGCAAAAGCCTGCTGCAGGCTTTTTAAAAATTTTTTATTGACTTTTAAATTTTTGAAAAAATTTTTCCCCAGGACTGGGCTTGATCTTAGAGCCTACATACACCGTGAGCCACTCTGCCAGCCCTTTTTTTTTTTTTTTTTGCAGTTTTTCTTTTTTCAAGCTAGGGTCTTGTGAACTATTTGTCTGGGCTGGCTTTGAACCTCTATCCTCCTGATCTCTGCCTCCTGAGTAGCTGGGATTACAGGCGTGAGCCACAGCACCGGGCAAGCACCCTACCTTTTGAGCCACGCCCCCAAGTCCTTTTTACTTCACTTTGTTTTTCAGATAGAGTTTTGTGCTTTTCCCAGGCTGGCTTCAGAGCATGACCCTCTGTCCCTGCCCCTTGAGTACAGAGTTCAAGGTGTCAGGAGACAAAGACCACCCTGAGTGACACCAGGGCAGTTGACAGAAAAAGAGATGGGGTGCTGGAACCATTTGCGGTTTTTGGGAAGGACGTTTTAGACACACCCTGCTGCTTTCCGGGCACTAGACTGTTACTTTTGAGATCGGGTCTCTGTAGCCCAGGCTAGTATTAAACTTGAGCTCCTCCTGCCTTCAGCCTCTCCGAGGCTGGGATTACAGAGGTGCGCCACCACACCTGGCGCTCACCCTCACCTTTTAATAATGCATAAGAAACAAGTCTGAGAGGCCGTCACGTGTTAGTATGTGAGCTGTGGTTGTTCCCCAGAGGTCCACTGCTCACTTGGCACACCCTGAGGAGGACAAGCCAGTGCCACTCCTGGCCAGGGAAAAAGACCCCATCTCCCAAGATGCTTCCATTTCTGGGGAAATCATGTCATAAACATCTTATCAGAGCAAGGTTTTCTAGTGCCATCAACCCCAAGTCACCAGGATGAGGTCCCCTGGGCAGCACCTCTGCGCCTCTATTTTCCCTGACCCCCGCACCATGCATCCTGGGCACCCACCATGAGAAGGGGGCGCAGACCTTTTGGTCTGTGGTCCACCGGCTGCCTCTGTCCAGCAACGCCATGCTGTGTTGGAAGTTCTGCTACGTGTTCCACAAGCTCCTCCGTGATGGACACCCAAACGTGAGTCCCAGGCCTCACCTCTTCTGCCCACCTCTTGCCTTTTTTTGGTGGGTGGGATTTGAACTCGGGCCTCACACTTGCTAAGCAGGTTCTCTCCTGCTTGAGTCACACCCCCAGCCCTTTTTGACTTTAGCTTATTTTTTGGATAGGGTCTCACCATGATTTCCTATTTACGCCTCCCACATAGCTGGGATGACAGGCATGAGCACCATGCTTGGCTTGTTTTTTGAGATGGGGGTCTTGCTAACTTTTTACCCAGGCTGGCCTTGAACCGAGATCGTCCAGATCTCTGCCACCTGAGTAACTGACGTGAGCCACCATGTCCACCCCCACCTCTTGATTTCCAATGGGGGGGTCAGCCCCTCTGAGTCCACCTCCCTGTCCCACCCAGGCCCGGCCTTCTCTTCTCTCACGGTTCTGCTGTCCCCTCCGCAGGTCCTGAAGGACTCTTTGAGATACAAGAATGAGCTGAGTGACATGAGCAGGATGTGGGTGAGTGTGGGGCCCCAGACGCCCCGCAACGGGGATTGTGGGTAGAACAAGTCCTCTCCTGCAGCGTGGTTAGGGTTTCTCCCGTGAGCCTCGGGGAGCAGCTAAGGACGTCCTCAGAGAGGACCGGGAGGCCCGGGCCTCACCTCAGTCCCTCAGCGCTGCAGAGCAGGTCTGGGCCTGGGCGTCTGTCACGACAGTGGAACTTCACTTCTCAAAGCTGTCCGGGCGTCGGGATCCCTCGGCAGGGACATCACCACTGCCCCTACTTCTGCCCTTCCATCTGTCCCTTTAAGGGTCACAGTAGCCTGAAAATTAGCATTCTTAATTTACACTTTATGTCTTCGGCAGTAATGGAGGTTGAAGTCAGGGCCTCATGGCCCTTGGGTTTAATTTTCTATTTTCATATAAATAGTACTGCAATCATATTTACCCCTCCCCCATCACCCCCTCTTTCACCCTCCTCCTCCTGCTGGTCCCTCCTCGCCCAAATGTCACCTCTCCCTTTTTTCCTGGGGCTACACCTTGAGCCACTCCGCCAGCCCTTTTTCATGATGGTTTTTTTGAGATAGGGTCTCTTGAACTTTTTTCCCGGGCTGGCTTCGAACTGTGATCCTCCCGATCTCTGCCTCCTGTGTAGATGGGATTACAGGTGGGAACCACTGGCACCTGGCTTGGTTTTTTTTGTTTGTTTTTTTTGAGACAAGGTCTTGCCATGTCACTCAGGCTGGCCTGGAACTCACAACCCTCCTATCTCAGCCTCCCAAGTGTTAGGATTATAGGTGTGTGCCACCACACCCAGCTTCCGTCACAGTTTCTTGTGTCTTACAAGTATTTTAGAAGTGTCATTTCTTTTTGAAGCACTGATCACATTTAATTGTCACATTATACCGTCCTTTGAAGCATGCATGCCTTTGTATAATCTGAAGTCCTTAGAGATGTGTCTCTCATGCTTTTTATTTTTCTTTGGTGGAGTGAAGTTTTTCACTGTGAGCTTTCCTTGGGACTTGGTTCGTGGAGATTCTTTGAAGCCTCTCACAGAGGCAGGTTCTCCAGGGAGATCTGGTATTTGTCTACACAGACATTGCTCTAAGCTAAAGTCTCAGCTGGAGGGTTATGAATTCTGGGACAACCCCCTTGGGAACCGGCTCTCGGGCCCATTTCTCAGCTGCAGATTCCCCCTGCCTCTGATCACAACAATGGTTTGAGGCCATAGGTTTGCTCGGCGGTCCCCGGGGAGCACGAGTGCTGGCTGTGTGATTTTCAGCTCACCCTTACTTCTCTGCACCTGGGAGGCACTTCACTGTGGCCAGGCTGGAGCCCCACTTCCTGTTCACCACCTGGCCCTTGAGGCCCAGAACTCAGGTTCACCTGCCATAGCCAAGCCCCCCGCCCCTCCTCTCTCACCCCAGCACCCCAGTTACCTGAGGGTCTGAGTTTACTCAGTACCTGGCCTGATGACTTCTTATTCGTTTGTTCATTCGTTCATTCATTCATTCATTCTTTCTTTTTCATTCTGTCTTTCTCTCTCTCTGTCTCTATTGGTCTCTCTCCCTCTCCCCTTCTCTGTCTGTCTCTCCCTCTTCCCTCTCCCACCCCCTCTTCCTCTCCCCTTCTCTACCATGTAGCCCAGGTTGGCCTCAAAATCTAGATCCTCCTGCCTCCCAGCTACTTGGAAGCTGAGATTGGGAGGATTTTGGTTCTAGGCCCATCCAGGCAAAAGATCACAAAATCCTAGCTCGACCCAGCCTGTAGCTGGGCGTGGAGGCACATGCTTGTCACCCCAGCAACCATGGGAAGCCCTGAGTACCAGCAAAAAAAAAAAAAAAAAATTCCCATTTTATATACAAGGAGCAGTGTGAGATTTTTCTATACGATGCTTATTGAGGGTCATATGATCTATACGTCAAAACCTATGGATGGATGACGCCAGGAATGAACCTGATGGAAAGTGTGAGCTTTGGATGTGAGAACATGTCACTGGAGACTGCTGGATGTGTTGGGGGCACATGGTATATGGCACTGTACACTTTGTACTCAAACTGCTCTTAAAGTAATCTATTTAAATTGAAAAAAACTGAAATAAAGAGGGGCTGTGCGTGGTCATGCACACCTGTAATCTCAGCTACTCAGGAGGCAGAAGCAGGAGAATTGCAGTTCAAGGCCAACCTGGGCGAAGTCAGCATGAGACTCTATCTAAAAATGAAGCAAAAGTGCTGGCAGAATGGCTCAAGTGGTAGAGCGCCTGGCTAGCAAGCGTGAGGCCCTGAGTTCAAATCCCAGTACCTCCAAAAAAAAAAAAAAGAAGAATGAGAAAAAGGTTCTTTACAAAAGACACCCCAGCTGCAGGAAGCCCGCCCCCAGTGTCCTCAGTTTCTTTCTGTTCCCACAGGGCCACCTGAGCGAAGGGTATGGGCAGCTGTGTAGTACCTACCTCAAACTGCTGAGGACCAAGATGGAGTACCACGCCAAAGTGAGTGCCTGTGCCCTACTGCCATACCCCCTCCGTGGCCCAGGCCCTTCAGGGAGTTGGGGGTCCACATACTAGCTGTGGAGGAGCAAAACTGTGCTCAGGACCTTGGGGTGTGACAGGGGTTCTGGGCCATTCCCACATGTCACAAATAGAGGACCCACACCCACTGGTTGCCTTGTAAAATGTTCCAGAAGCAAAACACTTCCAGTGGCCAGATGTGGCAGGGTGTGCCTGTAATCCCAGCACCCAGGAGGCTGAGGCAGGAGGACTGCCAGCTCCAGGCCAGCCTGCACTACAAAGCGAGATCCTGTCCAAAAACTTACTGTCTCTTAAAAACACTCCCTAGGGAGTGTCCGTAACAGAACCTTTTAATCTACCTGACTTTGGACGGTGAGTGTTTCTCGTGCCTCTCGATATACGTGACATTGTGTGCCAGGGACCAGAGGGTGCAGCAGGTAAGTTCTGGAGGTCTTCACGCAGCCCCGGGGGCAGGGAAGACCACTCACTCACCGTAACAGTGGGGAACCATTACTGGTGCTGGCAGAAAATACCAGAGACATCCTGCAGTGACAAGGTTGTGGCAAGAGAGGACACAGTGAACAGCCTGCCATGAGCTTCCATGGTCCCTGTGGGTGAGGAATTCCGGGAGGGCGTGGCTGGCACTTGGGGCCAGAGGCCTCTCCAGTGGTTTTGCTGTCAGAGGGGACTGGGGCTAGAACAGAGGGCTAGGGGCTGCTGCGAGCTCCCTTCCTGCACCATCCACTCGCCCGGCCCCCAAGACCCCAGCCACACTGTGGATAGCGAGGATGTGGCCAGAAAAAGGGCAGGTGGGCATTTCAGGCAAAGGGGACAGTGGGGACCCAAGGGCATGAGGCCCAGTACAGTTGGATGTTCCTTTAGTACCAGCATCAAGTCTGCACTTGGGCAGGGTGCAGGCCACATGGAGTGCCGTGGGCGACCCAGGAGATGTGTGACACCTTCAGCCCATCTCAGAGGCCCCAGTGCCCACCCTCAGCTCCTTGGACCACTCTGCACCCATTGGGGATTGCGCTGTGAAGAGTGACTCAAAGCTAGTGTGTCTGTAATCCCAGCGACTTGGGAGGTGAAGTTAGAAGAATCCCAAGTTCAAGGCCAGCCCAAGCAAAGTTAGCAAGACCCCCATCTTAAAGACAAAATGCAGGGCCAGGTGTGGTGACTCAAGCCTGTCATCCTAGCTACATGGGAGGCAGAGATCGAGAGGATCACAATTTGAGGCCAGCCTGGGCAAAAACATCAAAAGACCCCATCTCAACCAATAAAATCTGGGTGTGATGGCACACACCCATTATCCCAGCTACTTGGGAAATTTAAACAGGATTGCAGTCCAGGCCTGTCTGGGCGAAATGTGTGAAACCCAATCCAAAAAATCACAAAAGCTAAAAAGGCTGGGAGTGTGTGTCGAGCAGTTTACCTCCTGTGTAGCAAGCACAAAGCCCTGAGTTTGACTCCTAGTACTGCAAGATAAGAGTGATACAGGCCCATCTGTAGTTTGGGGTACCCTTCCTGGGGCATTACGGAGGGTGGACTTGAGAGATTTTACAGTCAGTGTGCCCCAGGTTGAGGACCAGAATTAGGACAGTGGTCTGTGGGACAGACACGGGATGGGGACTGCCTGAGGACTGGCAGGAAAGGGAGGATGGGGGCTGGTGAGAGGGGCCGGGGTCATGGGGAGACAGAAAAGCCTCCAGAGAACAAGGTTAGGCACTGAGAAGAGCAGGATAGGGAGGCCCTGGCCTGGACTCTGAGAGGCCCAGAGCATGTGCTCTTGTTCCCTGGTGTCCTGTGCGGCTGCCCAGCCCCAAACGGGTGCTTGATCAGGGTTTGCTGAATGAGTGATGGGATGAATGAGAACCGGGGTGAAATCTGATCACACAGGAGAAGCGGGCCTGGGTAAGGTAGAAAAAAGGAAGGACTTCCCAGGAGGGGAGTAGACTGCAGGAGCTGAGACATTACTAGGCAGTTTAAGAGGGAAGATCACAGCCTGGTGTGGTGGCTCACACCTGTAATCCTAGCCAGTCAGGAGGTGGAGGTCAGGAGGATCTCAGTTCAAGGCCAGCCCAGGTAAAAAGTTAGACCCCATCTCAATCAGTAAGCCAGGCATGGTGGTTCTCACCTGTCATCCCAGATACTCGGAAGGCATAGGTAGGAGGATTGAGGTCTGAAGCTGGCGCTTTTTGACTAAAAGTAAAAAAGGGGCAGTGGGCTTGCCTGGGAAGGGTGAGTCCCTGAGTTCCATCTCTACTACTGCAGCAGAAAAAAAAAAGGAGAAAGTTAGTCATTGCTGAGAGAATGTGGCACCAGGGATGAGAGTGGAAGACCTCCCGGGAACGGGAACGGGAACGTTGAGTGGCACTGCAGTGGCTGAATGTTGGTGCCCATTCCCCAAAATTCTTTTTCTTTTTTTTTTCTTTTTTGTGGTACTGGGGTTTGAACTCAGAGCCTACATCTTGAGCCGCTCCCCTAGCCCTTTTTTGTGATGGGTTTTTTCAAAATGGGGTCTTGTGAGCTATTTGCCCAGGCTGGCTTTGAGCCACCATCCTCCTGATCTCTGCCTGCTGAGTAGCTGGGATTACAGGCGAGAGCCACCAGTACCCAGCCCCAAATTCTTACATTGAAGTCCCAACCCCCAAGAAGGTGGTGTTGGGGCCTTTGGGAGGTGGAGTCCTCATGAGGGGATTAGAGACAGGAGAGAGCTCCTGTCCTGGCTGCCATGTGAGGGTCAGCACCTTGACCTTGATCTTGACTTTCCTGGAACTATGAGCAGTCAATGTCTGTGACTAAAGCCACCCGTCTGTACAGCCTGAGCTGACTACGTTGCCTGCTGAGGATGGAGCACTTGAATGAAGTGACTCCAGCTGTGAGTCCTTCTCAGGGACATTTGCAGCTGGCCCTAGGTGCACAGTGTGACAACCATCCAGGCTTAGCCACTTTTAGTAGCAGTGTGGTAGGAAGACAGCAGGGAAGGGCGTGAGAGTGTGGGAGCAGGGCTCCGATCGTGGTGTCCAGATGGAACAGGAAGTGACCAGAAAGGGCCAAAAAGGTGAACACAAGAGGGACCGGCCATACATGAAGGAGTGAGGTTGGATGTTGCAGCCAGAGTGAGGGGCCGAGGTGGAAGGCCAAGTGGAGTGTCAGGGTCCCCAACAGGTGTCAGTGGCCCAACGTAGAGCGGAGGCAAAGGTACCAGAACTGGGGTCGAGGGTGGTGATTGCTGGTGCTGGACCCCACTGGCTCAAAGGGAGACTCTGGTCTGGATGCCAGAGGGAGGGCCAGGCCAGCCCGTGCAAAAGCACAAGATGCTACTTGAAAACTAGCTAAAGCAAAAAAGGGCTGGGGGCGTAGCTCAGGTGATAGAGCGCCTGCCTAGCAAGCCCAAAGCCCTGAGTTCAAGCCCCAGTACTGCCCACACAGAAGAATGTTCCAGGGTGCCACTGGAAGGGAGGGACTTCTGTTCTGATGACAGGTAGTGGTGGCTTTTGCTGTGAGCCTCTGCTGGGGTCTGTGTGTGTGAGGTCGTGTGGACTGATGAGGTTGTCCTGAAAAGAGTCCTGCCGTGCACACTCAGTGTCAGTGACCTGTCCTTTCCTGGGACTGCTGAGAGACGTCTCGTGCCTTGCCCTGACTCTCTCTCTCTGCCTCCCTTCCAGAATCCCAGGTTCCCAGGCAACCTTCAGATGAGTGACCGTCAGCTGGATGAGGCCGGAGAGAGTGACGTTAACAACTTGTAAGTGGTGAGCCTTATGCTCTGGACGGGCAGGAAGGGAGCTTTTGTGTCTTGTCATTCCCCATTAGGGTCACGGAGGCCCAAAGATCAGAGCAGAGGCTGGGATGGGTGACGTGACCTTGGACCACTTATTGCCAGGGATACATCAGTAACCCCTGTCCTGCCATCTTGTGCCCTCACTTCTGTGTCACCCTCTGCCTTCCATCCTGACAGGGGTACCTGTCCTCTCCCTTAGCCACTGTCACTGTGGCCTCTTTGCCCTGCTAGATCTTTAAACGGTCTTAATTGTACCATTGTGTGGGGGCTGAGGATTGAAGCTGGGGTGTGTGTGCCTGCGTGCGTGTAATTGTGCTCACGTGTGGGCACTGGGGGATGGAAACAGGTCAGGGCATGAGGGTGGCACAGGCGAAAACCTGGCCTTGGGGACCTGGGTGTGGCTTGGTGGTAGAGCGCTCACCTAGCATGCACGAGGCCCTGGGTTTCGTTCCCACCCCTGCAAAAACAACAGCTCAAAGCAGCCCAGCCTCAGCCTGGGGAATTCAAAGTCTCTGTTCTCTTGGGTCCAGTTTCCAGCTCACGGTGGAGATGTTTGACTACCTGGAGTGTGAGCTGGACCTCTTCCAAACCGGTGAGTGTCCCCTCCCGACCAAGCCAGGACCTCGGGGATTTGCCAGGATCCCAGCCTGGCTCCCGCAGCTGCCCAGCACAGGGCCAGGAGAGTGGAACCACTCCTGCCCCGTCTCTGCTGAGGGCTGAGGCGTCTGTCTGTCTCCTAAGCCGGTGGCCTCGTATTGGGCTGGAAGCCCACAAGCAGGACTTACCTCTCTGGTGACCATTCAGTCTTGTGCTCTGAATCAGAGCTGGGCTGCCCACCCTACTGGGCTCCCTTCTGGAGGGTTCTGGTGTCTCCAGACCTTAGCCACTAACACCTCCCTGACAAGACTCTGTCACCCCCTTCTCTCCAGGGTGTTCTCCTCTCACTTCCTGGCCAGGCTCCCCTTGTTTTCTGGGGGAATGTAAGAACTGTGTTTTAAGACTCAAGGCATTTCAAACTAGGGTTTGAACTCAGGGCTTCACACCCATGCTGCTTGAGCCACGCCCCTAGCCCTTTTTGTTCTGGTTATTTTAGAGATGGGGGTCTCACTTTTTGCCCAGGCCAGCCTGGACCACATTACATTTTCCTTTGCAGCTGGGATGACAGGTGCACACCACCAGTTTTTTTCCATTGAGATGGGGTCTCAAAAACATTTTTGCCAGGCTGGTCCCCAACCACAATCCTCCCGATCTTGGCCTCCCATGTAGCTTGGGATGACAGGTGTGAGCTACCATGCCCAGCTATTGGATGAGATAGGGTCTCACGAACTTTTTGCCCATTCTGGCCTTGAACCACGATTCTGCTGATCTCAGCCTCCCAAGTGGCTGGGATTACAGGTGTGAGCCGACTGATGCCCTGCTCGAGGCACTTGTGACAAGGGTCAGGGTCTGACTGTGAAGGAGCATGCTCTGCAGTGCAAGCACTGTCACACAAGCAACTGGTTTTCAAAGTGCTGTCCATAGACCAGCAGCATCAGTGTCACGTGAGAACTTGTCAGCAGTGCAGATTCATGGGGCCAGGTGTGGTGGTGCATGCCTGTAATCCTAGCTCCCAGCTCCAGGCAGAGATGGGAGAATCAGGGTTCGAGGCCAGCCTGGGCAAAAGCACGGACCCTATATTACAAAAAAAGCATTAAAAAAAAAACTAAATCTCTGCCTCAAGTGACAGAGTGCTTGTGCAGGAAGTGTGAGCCCCTGAGTACAAATGTCAAGAGAAAGAAGAAATGCAGGTTCCCAGGCCCCACCCCAGACCTGCTGGCGGGCGGACCCGCGCAGACACTGTTTTTCACCTTCACTTGTGTCCAGTAAATGGCGTGAGGCGCTCAGCACTGGAGCAGAGGGCAGACTGTGCGGGTGAGCATCCCTGAGCTGTGCTGTTCACCCCACCACGTGTGTGTAACAGCTTACTCTGATATTTCAGCTTCTATTGAGCTTGGGTTGAACTCGGGGCCCAGGCAAGTGCTCCACCCACTTGAGCCACCCCCACCCTTTTTGCTTTTATTTTACTTTCCAGATAGAGTCTCAAGGTAACTTTGCCACGGTGACCTCAGACTGTGATCTTCTATATTTACGTCCCGAGTAGCTGAATTACAGGCACATACCACCACACCCGGCTTATTTTTTGAGATAGGGTCTCATTAACTTTTTGCCTAGGCTGGCCTCAAGTCGCAGTCCTTCTGTCTCCACCTCCTGAGTAGCTGGAATTACAAGTGTGTACCATATGCCTGGCACATCTGTATTTAAATTATAGTTAAATAAAACTTAAAGTCAGGTCCTCAGTTGCACTAGCCATAACATTTTAGGCTTATTTTATTTATTTTACTTATTTTAGACACAGGGTCTTGCTACGTAATCTAGGCTGGCCTCAACCCCTCAAGCCTCTGGCTCTGCCTCCTAAGTGCTGGGATTACAGGTGTGCACTACCACGCCCAGCTCTCAGGCATACTTCAAGCAGCCTCTTGTGGGAGCATATTGGGTCATGCATCAAGAATATTCCCCAATGAGAGGGGATGGCACTACTCTGGGGGCTTTGCACAGCTACTGAGCAAATACAGTTTTCAACCTGGTTGCATATTTGAGTCACCTGGGTGATGCTGATGCCCCATCTTTACGCCACACCAATTAAAACAGAGTGGGAGTGCAGTGAGTTGGAGGTAGACATTTATTGCTGTGTCCCTGGGTGTGAACTAATCAACCTCAAAGCCAAACTGAGAGGCACTACCCGGTGCCCTCACATCCTCAGACACAGAGAGGTTGAGACACCGTGCACAGTCACACTGCCATCGCCGTACTGGGTGCCAAGGGTTATTCCTGGAAGGCTTTGGGAAAGCAGGCAGCCTGGGAGATGGCCAGCTATGGTTCATTGCCAGAGCAGAGGATGGCAGCCTCGCAGTGACAGCTGCTTTTAATTTGACTCAAGAAGAAAAGCTACCTTTTCATTAGAACAGTTTGGTTCTTTTCTTTTTTTTGCAGTCACTAGATTAACCCAGTTATGGGGATCCATGCAGTCAGAGGAGGCAGATGCACAAGGCTTTGGGCTTCCCCCACACAGCCCACGCACAGGGGACAGCAGGGGCAGTCACGCTGTTGCTAGCCATGTAAGGGTCTCCAGGAACAGTGAGCAGCTGGTGTAAGAAGGCAGCACATGGCTGGGCGTGGTGGTGCATGCCTGTAATCCCAGCACTCAGAAGGGTGAGGCAGGGTGGGCATGAGTTCTAGGTCAACCTGGGTTGCAAAGAGAAGCCTGGGCTACACAGAGATAGGAGGGAATTCTCCTCTGTTCTAGGAGTCTCAGATTGCAAGCAAACCTCTGGGTGCACACAGGGCTCTGCACAAAGTAGAGCCTCTGTCGCCTGTTTGTGATGGCCCGGACATCTGGCCGTTAGCATCAGAGGTGCCTGGTCTAGCCACGTGATCTCAGCATAGCCACTTCTCAGCTTTGTGACCACCCTCAAGTGACCCAATGTGGTCGGGTGCTGATGGCTCACACCTGTAATCCCAGCTACTCAGGAGGCAGGATCAGGAGGTTCGCGGTTTGAAGCCAGCCCAGGGGAAATAGTTCAAGAGACCCTATCTCAAAAAACCCATCACAAAAAAGGGCTGGTGGAGTGGCTCAAGGTGTAGGCCCTGAGTTCAAACCCCAGCACCGCAAAACAAAAACCAAAAAGTGATGGGTTTCCGTTTCCCGCCTTGTAGGAGTGTCATAAGGCCGAAGTGAATTAGATGAAGTGACCGTGTCCCCAGTAGGTCCTTGGTGTGTGTTGGGCCTCAGCCTCTGCGCCTCTGAGAGGCTGCCTATGACCTCCTCACTCTGTCACCTTTCTCCTGCTCTTACTTCCCAGTGTTCAGCTCTTTGGACATGTCCCGCTCTGTGTCAGTGACAACGGCTGGGCAGTGCCGCCTCGCCCCGCTCATCCAGGTCATCCTGGACTGTAGCCACCTCTACGACTACACCGTCAAGCTCCTGTTCAAGCTCCACGCCTGTGAGTACCACGCTCGGGCGCGGTGTCACTGCCTCAGGATATCCCCAAGAATGCAGCTGCTCATGGCCCCTGCCTGGGCTCTGTCCCAGAAGGCCCTGGGGCTCCTGGCCCCTGGGGAACAGCAGGCCAAACTTTGAGGGTCCCAGTCCACTTCCTGGCCTGCCATGGCCGTGTGGCATGGTGGCCCTCTCTGTCCACCTCCCGCGTACCACACCCCACATGCACACACACACACACACAAACACACCACACACCACACACATCACACACCACGCACCACACACATCACACACCACGCACACCACACACCACACACATCACACACCACGCACCACACACACCACACACACATACCACACACATCACACACCACGCACACCACACACATCACACATACCACACACACCACACACACACACCACACACACACACACACACACACACACACAACACACACACACACCACACACATCACACACACGCACACCACATACATCACACACCACACACACACACACACACCACACACCACACACACACCACACACACACATCACACACCACACACACCACACACCACACACACACACACACACCACACACACCACACACACACACACACCACACACACACACACCACACACACACATACACCACACACACCACACACACACATACACCACACACACCACACACACCACACACCACACACACACACACCACACACACACCACACACACACATCACACACCACACACACCACACACCACACACACACACACACACACACACCACACACACACACACACACACACACACACACACACACACACACCACACACACCACACACACACACACACACCACACACCACACACACACACACACACACACACACACACACACACCACACACACACACACACATGACACACACACCGCACACGCTTGTCTGGCCACAGCGCCCAGCACAGCAGAGTTGAGGGCCTGCGCGACTGGCAGGAGCTCTGACACCTTGGTGACCTTGTTGAAGTGGTGTGCGTGAGCCACCTCAGACTGGCCTTGGGAGTTTTCTGCCAGGGTTCAGGGTCTTCATCATTTAACGCTGACCTCCAGCGACATCTGACGTGGGTGGCACTTGGGCCACACACCAGGGCGGCCACTATTGTACACAGCAGAGGATGGGGTGGTGGAAAAACCAAGAGAAACCTAGACACGAGCGGCTGCTGGGAGGTTTTACAGCACAGAAGGAACAGGATGCGTTTCAGGAGTGTGGCCAAGGGTGACTCCATAGCTGTGGGGTGACAAGTGGTGAATGTGGCTACTTAGATGGGAAGAGAGGCGGCATCGCTCTGCTTAGCCCTGGGTGCCTTCGGGGTGGGGAGCTTGGGATTTAGGGTTCAGGATCAGAAGGCAGTGCGCGGGAGTGGAGGGAGCCAAGAGGGTGGTCCAGATCCCCAGAGAGGAGGGCGGCTGCCATTTGAAGCCCCGAGTACAAGAGGACATTTGGTAACGTTAAAAAGCTACAGGATGCAGGAGGGTGTCACTAGGGTCCCGTAAGGCGGAGGGAGATGGACAGACGCCAATTGTAACTATGTGGATGTAAAGACTTTCTCTACTGGCATGGCAGTCGCACAGCCCACACTGATGACCTCTGGGCAGGGGAGCTGGGGACAGTGTACGGGGACACCAGACAGTAAGGTCGAGTATCCCTCATTCACAACTTTCTAGTCAAGCTGGGTGTGGTGGTGCACACCTGTAATCCCAGCACTCAGGAGGCGGAGGCAGAAAGACTGAAAGTTCAAAGTCAGCCTGGACTACAGAGCAAGACCAGGTCTCAAAACCAAGGACTGGGAAGGTGGCTCAGTGGTAGAGCGCTTGCTTGCTTGGCATACACCAGGGCCTGAGTTCAATCCCCAGCACCGCAACCCCCAACCCACACACACACAAAAAAAATGTGCTTGGGAACCAAAATTATTTCAGAATTTCTTAGATTTTGGGATATTTGAGTACACTTCAGTGATTTGGCATTCTTAATCCAAAAATTCAGTGATGCTCAAAAAGTCTCGAGTTTCAGAACAGTTCACTGTTGGGGCATTTTGCACCTGGCATCTTTAGTTATAGAAGTCCAACCCATATATGCATCTCTAAAATTAAACACTTTTTATTTATTTGAGATAGGGTCTCACTGTGTTGTCCAGACTGGACTCAAATTCCTGGGTGCAAGCATTTCTCCTGCCTCCGCCTCTCAAGTAGCTGGGACTACAGGTGTGTACCACTGCACCCAGCTACAAGAAACTTCTTATTTTGTTTTGTTTCTTGACACAGGATCTTCCTTTTTAGCCCAGCCTGGCCATGCAGTCTCCATCCCCCTGCCTCAACCTCCCAAGTGCTGGGATTACAGGCTTGTACCACCACACCCAGCTCAAGGTTGCCACAGTTGTTACTCAACATCCTTTTTCTGACCCTCGACTCTACCCCATAACACTTAGTCATTGTGTCGCTTAGTCTCCTTGGCTGTCACAGCTTCTCAGACTTTCCTTGGTTTTAATGACCTTGGCAGTTTTGAGAACTCAGGTTTTTCTACAGTGTCCCTCGATTCAGCTTTTTCTGAGGTTTTCCTCGTGGTGTCACGAGGGTTAAGGGTTCCTGAGAGACAAATCACAGAGGTAAAGTGTCACTCCCATTTCCTGTCCACTTTTACCTTTCTTTCTTTCTTTCTTTTGCAGTACTGGAATTTGAACTCAGGGCCTTAGGCTTGCTAGACAGGTGCTCTACCACTTGAGTCACTCCATCAGCTTTTTTTGTGTGGTGTATTTTTTGAGATAGGGTGTCAAACTATTTCCCTGGGTGACATAGCAAGGCTTTGTTGAGAGAAAGGGGTGTGTGGGGGGAAGCAAGAAGAGATTTTAAAAATAAAATGTAAACTGAGTCATGATTCATAGCTGAAATACACATTTGCAGTCTGGGAGGTGAAGGAACTCCCCAGAGAACCAATTTTATAGCCATGGGGCCTGAGACCATCCGTGTCCCACCGTAGACAGGGACCAAGCCCTAAAGTCTAGAGTGAGTCCCACACCTGAGAGAGAACCGCCCTTCCTCCCGTCCCCAGGGCCTGCCCGGGTCCACCCGGCATCAAGGTCAGGCTACTATCGTATCTGTGGTCAAGGACCAGAAAGGAGTTTGGAGGACGAGCTCCTTGCACTCCTGCTGGACTCCCTTGCCTGCCAGACCTCGGGGGGCATGCGGCCAGGTGTGGCTGCCTGTCCCCGGTCCTCCTGCCCCTCACACTCACTCCAGTTTCCTCCAGGTCTCCCAGCTGACACCCTGCAGGGCCACCGGGACCGATTCATGGAGCAGTTCACAAAGTAAGTGGTCATGGGAAGGGGATAAGGGCCAGTCACAAGTGCTACAAGGACCGGGACTTGGCTTGGTGGTAGAGAGCTTGCCGCATGTGCTCAAGGCCCTGGGTTCCATCCCCAGCACCACCAAAAAAACAGTGCTCGAAAGTCAGTTAATCCACACAAGAGCCCCGAGCTTTGAAATACTCAAGGGGTGGGAATACTGGTTCTGAAGGTAGTAAAATTACAGACCATTGAGCCAAACGTGGTGACTCACGCCTGTAATCCCAGCACTCGGGAAGCTGAGGCAGGAAGGTTGTGAGTTCCAGGCCAGCTGGGGCTACAAAGGGAGACCCTGTCTCAAAAATAAATAAATGAAATAAATTGATAAAACACGCAAATGGCAGGAAGCAGTTAGGATGGTGGCACACTAGCCAGTGGCAGGAGAAGCTACCTGGGTCCATGTGAAATCCCATAGAAGCGGAGGAAAAGAGCCTGCCCCCATTTACGAAGCCCCTGCTTTGTGCCGGACTTCACGCCCCTCCCTCTCCCAGAGTTGCAGACTGCTCTTTTAATTCCAGGCTCAGCGACCCAAGTGCACATCTACCAGATTTTAATCTCAGGGCGACCTCTAGGTGGGGGAGGGGTGCTGGTGTCTGAACTGCCCCTGGAGCCACACCCCAGCCCTTCAGTTACTTTTCTAATAGGGTCTTGCGCTTTTTGCCCTGAGCCAGCCCGGCTGTGATCGTGTAGCTGACATTATATGTGTGAACCGCCATGCCCAGCTTGTCTGTTCGTATGGGATCTTGCTAAATTTTTTCCCCCAGCTGGCTTTGAACTGCAGTCTTCTCAATCTCTGACTCCTGAGTAGTTGGGATTACAGGAGTGAGCCACCACTCTTGGCCCTCTCCCTAATTTCCCCAATAAACACTGCCACCCTCCACGTAGGCCAGAGACCTGGAACACCATTTTTTCCACACCACATGTTCCGTGCATTTGCAGATACGTCTTCTTGTCCACATTTCCATCTTTCAGCTCCTTTAACTGCCCACCCCAGGACCCTGCAATGTTCCCAGACCTGTGAACTTCACCCCTGCCCCTGTGATGCAGTCCTCACCTAGAACAGCCTTGTAAAACAAATCGCAGTCACCAGGGGCAGACAAAGGACAAGTGGAGGGCTGCACCAGCCTCTTAGCTCCTGGGTTCTGTCATGGAAGCTTAGTAAATGTTCTATAATAAGTGACTTGTTATCCCAGGAGACAAGCCTGGCCCTCAGTTCCGGAAGCTGACAAACCAGTAGCCTCTTAGCATTGGCTGCAGTCCAGAAGCACGGACACGCGTGGTGCTCTCATCTTTTTCTAATCACGTCCCCATGGGCAGCCCCTCGCCTCTTCCTCATGGAGGCAGCATCAGTGTCCCACGGACACCTGAGTTCGGGGGTGCCATTGAGAGAGGATTGGATGGTGGGCGGGGAGTTAGTTTCTGGGCTCAGCTTAAGGAAATTTGTCAACCAGAGGCTGCGGAGACCCACAGTCCTGTCCCACAGGAGGCAATTCTAGGTGTTCTCAGGTGCTTTGATTCTAAATAGAGATTTGGGGCTGGGGGTGGGGCTCGGAGCTAGAGCATCTGCCTGCTACGCAGAGGCCCCGGTTTATCCCCAGCACCTGGGGACACTGTTGTCCCTCACATTCATTTAGATTAGGCCAAATCATTCTTCTCCAGAGCGAATTTGTGAGTGACCCCTCTGTGCCCAGGCCTGCGGTAAACGCCGCTCAGCCCCTGCCTTCTAGAAGCTCTTGGTCCAAGGAGATGACATATAGGATACAGGTCAAAATCGAGGTGAAGGGGGAGCGTGGCTCAAGTGTAGATCACCTGCCTAGCGAGCATGAGGGCCTGAGTTCAAATCCCATATCAAAAACAAAACAAAAAACCAAGGTGAAATAAGTGAAAAGAGATTCTGCCTTAATTATTAAGCTCCCTTCCATTTTCCTATGGCTGTTGGTTTACCCTTCCAGAAAGTCACTTCCTTCCCCCAACCCTACCTCCCATGCTTGAATGGACCCCAAGGCCTCACACGTGCTAGGAAAGTGTTTTACCACTAAGCTACACCTGTGGCCTGTTTGTTTGTTTTGTTTTTGACACAGGCTGGCGTGGAACTCCTGATCCCTTATACTTCTACCTCCTGAGTAGCTGGGATTACAGGCGTGCACCACCATGCCTGGTCCAGTCACTTCCTTTTGTGGTTACTCTCAGCCAGACATTCCTAAGAATGTCAGATCTGCCAATGGTAGCATATATTCTGCAGAGATGAGGAAGTTAGTTTGGGGATCTTTAGCAGGAATTACTTTTCTCAATCCTGGGCTAACTGGGGACTGGCTGTAAATGATGCTGGTCCATAGCATCATAATTGAAGTCTGGAACCCTGGAGGTCCAGCCCCTTGCCAGCCCGTGCCTTCGGGTGAAGGGTGGGGAAAACTGAGGGGCCACCCTGTCCCCCGGCACCCCTGAGGTCCTTCTCCCTCTGCAGGCTGAGAGACCTGTTCCACCGGTCCAGCAACCTGCAGTACTTCAAGCGGCTCATTCAGATCCCCCAGCTGCCCGAGGTGAGCACGCCTGGCCAGACCCTGGGCACTGCAGGGGGACCCGAGGTCCTCCTTCTAGAGACTGGCAGGTGGACAGGCACCCATCTGAGGCTGTGTCTCCCCTCTCCAGAATCCACCCAACTTCCTGCGAGCCTCAGCCCTGTCGGAACACATCAGCCCGGTGGTGGTGATCCCGGCAGAGGCCTCATCCCCTGACAGCGAGGCAGTCTCAGAGAAAGACGACCTCATGGACATGGATGCCTCTCAGCAGGTGTGGGCCCTCTGCCGGGTGCATTGGACACTCAGTGGTAGAGCACCTGCCTCACAAGCATGAGGCCCTGAGTTCAAACCCTAGTACCACAAAAAGAAAAAAACCTCACAGGAGGATAGGACGTCTTGTTATGTCACCCAGGCGAGTTTCAAACTCCTGGGCTTAGAGGTCCTTCTGCCTCTACCTCCCAAGTAGCTAAAACTACAGGTGTATGCTACCATATTCGATTGCGTTCAACTTTTTTTTTTCAATTGTGGGATGAAACCCAGGGCCTCACAAATGCCAGGTAACTGTTCTACCACTTGAGCCACACTCAGCCCTTTTATTTGTATCTTGTTCCTGAGATAGGGTTTCAGTAATTGCCCAGGCTAACCTCGACCTTGAGATCTTCCTGCCTCTGTGTCCTGAGTGGCTGGGGCTTTCTTCAGCATTTTCTTAAGCAAACAGGAACCTAGACTGAGCATCGTGCCCTGGGGGTCCTGGAGGGAGCACACTGGGCCTGAACGAAATCACAAAGGGAGGATGGAGTCTCTGACTTGTTCTCTTCCACACCCTTGGTCACTGTAGAGTTTGTTCGACAACAAGTTTGATGACATCTTTGGCAGCTCCATCAGCAGCGACCCCTTCAATTTCAACAATCAAAACGGTGTGAACAAGGATGAGAAGTGAGTGTAAGCTGGGTTCGTGCACATGGCGGCAGCCCCCACCCCATCTTGACCCTCAGCTGGGGGCCCCTTTATTCTCAGAAGCTTAGTAGCTGGATACATGGGTGTCCCCAAAACACCTGGGGATTGGCTCCAGGATCTCTCCCCCGCTCTGTGAATATCAGATCAGCAAAGGGTGCAAACTCTCTTTATGAGGTTGGGAAGTGTTTACATAAAACCCACCAGAGCCCCCTCATGCTTACCTCCAGGTAACTTAAAAATGTGTCATACAATGGGAATCCTACACTGTAGTATGGCAGGAAAAGAAAAGATTGGCCATTTTCAGTATAGATACAGTTTATTTTCCCCAGTATTTTCTGTCTGTGGTTGGTTGAACCCCCAGAGGCCCAGCCCACAGATGCAAAAGGTTGACTGTATAAATTTATAGTGTCAAAGAACTCTCTCCAAATTAACCTCAGCCTTTGCTGCATCCCTGATCTTCCGGCTCACGCGTAGAAGGAAAGGGACAGAGCACGGTGGAGGCAAACCTGTTCTCCTCCTCTCCCCAGGGACCACCTGATCCAGCGGCTGTACAGAGAGATCAGTGGACTCACAGAGCAGCTGGAGAACGTGAAGGCCGAGGTGTGCGCTGACCTCTGGTCGGCTTCTCTTCCAGGTTTCAATTGTAAACTCATGGCTCGTGACTCTGGTTGGCCCACATCCTAAGGCAGGTGAATTAGTGGACGTGCCAAAGCCAGTGAACCTGGCTTCCATTACAGGCATATCTGTAGCCCAGCCTTTAAGGGCAGAGTTACACCAGGATGGAATTTTCCCATGTGACCTAGAGGTAGCTGTGGTCAGTACCTGGCTGGGAGGCTGTAATGAGAAAGACCTTTTCTTTCCACATGGCCTTAAGAAGAGTTTGGTGGGAAGTCCAGTCATGGTGGTGCATAACTAAGAGTCCCAGCTATTTGTGAGGATCATAGTTTGAGGCCAGTTCAGGCAAAAAGTTAGTGAGACCCCATCTCAACCAATAAGTCAGGCATGATGGTACATTGCTATAATGTCAGCTAAGCAGGAGGACAAAGTAGTAGGATTGAAGTCCCAGCAAAAGTGCAAGATCCTATCTGAAAAACTAAAAGCAAAAGGACTTGGGGGCGTGGCTCAAGTGGTAGAGTGCTTGCCTAGCAAGCAGGAAACCCTGAGTTCAAACTCCAGGACCACCACCACCAAAAAAAAAGAAGTTTAGTTTGAAACTCTGGCTGTTTGTGGTCCCTGGTGTTGAATATGCGCCTGCCCCTCAAAGCTGTAGCTCATCAGCAGACTTGACTCACAGGGACAGGCCCAGCGTCCTCTCCTTTCTCTGTGCAGCTGGCCCACTGCTGTCCCCAGGGCACTGTAAGTAGGGCCACAGTCTCCACGCCATCACTCCCTGTTGTGGTGGGCAGCTGGCTTGTAATGACCAGAAGACAACTCCCACGAGACCTTGGGAGCTCAGGGAGACCTGGGTATCCACAGTGGATGGGAACCAGGAGCTCCTGTGGGTACCAAAACCCACAGATGCTCAAGTCCCTTAGATAAAATGGCGTGGTGCTTGCATGGAACCTGCACGTGTCTTCCTGTGTCCTTTAAGTCATATCTACATTACCTGAGTATAATACCTGATTCAAGTTCAATGTCAATGCCAGGTAAAGACGTGCTACACTGTATCAATGAGGAAACAAAGACAAGAAAAGAAAGTCTTTACATGTTCAGTACAGGTGCAATTGTTTCCCACCTGTGGTTGGTTGGATCTGTGGATGGGGAGCCGCGGATATGGAAGTCCACAGACCTGGTCAGTGCTGGGCACATGGTAGGACCATTGTCCTGCCCAGCACCCCCCGTGTGGTGGCAGTGCGGGCTCCTCACGTGGTCTGTCCCGCAGAGCCAGCGGGCCACGCTGCAGCTGAAGGGCCAGGTGAGCGAGCTGGAGGCCGAGCTGGCTGAGCAGCAGCACCTGGGGCGGCAGGCGACCGACGACTGCGAGTTCCTGCGCACAGAGCTGGACGAGCTCAAGAAACAGCGCGAGGACACCGAGAAGGCGCAGCGGAGCCTGACAGAGATCGAGAGTGAGGGGCCTGGTCGGGGGAGGCAGGGGAAGGTGCAGGAGGACTCAGCCTAGGCTAACTCAGGACCAAGGGCCAAGGTTGCTGCCTCTTTGTGGAATCGCTGCCAGGGGTACTAGCTCTTGCCATCTGGCAGAGGGCCAGACTTGAGGACAGAGCCCTGCAGGATGCACTGCTGGACCCACAGCAGTGGGGAACACAGGCAGTGACAATGGGGTGCCTGCCCTGGGAGAGGAGACTTCCACAGGAGGGGAAAGCAGGACAAAGCCTAAGAGAAAGAATCAACAGGAAAGGCTAACATCCAGCCAGGTGTGGTGGTTCATACCTATAATCCCAGCTACAAGGAAAGCAAAGATCAGGAGGATCATGGTTTGAGACCAGCCAGGGTAAAAAGTTAGTGAGACCCCCCCCCCATCTCCACGAACAAACTGGCTGTGGTCATGCATGCCCGTGATCCCAGCTGCGCAGTCAATGTTGGTAGGAGAATCAAGGTCCAAAGCTGACCCCGTCCAAAAAACAAAGCAAAATGGGCTGGGGGCATGGCTCAAGTGGTAGAGCCTGCCTAGCACTCAAGAGGCTCTGAGTTCAAACCCCCCTACCCCCAAAAAAAACAAAAACAAATTGGGCCAGGCATGGTGACACCTGTGATCCCAGTACTCAATATGACCACAACTTCCATGCCGGCCTTGGCTGCATAGGATTGATTTCTGGTGCTACTGGGGTTTGAACTCAGGGCTTGAGCATGCCAGGGAAGTGCTACACCACTTGAGCCACTCCTCTGGCCCGTCAGGAGGGAGTTTGAGGTAGCAGAAGGTCAGTAAGTGCGTCCTCTAGGACCCCGGTGGCCAGGGAGCTGCCACACGTTGGTCCTTTACTACCTTGCAGGGAAGGCCCAGGCCAACGAGCAGCGGTACAGTAAACTAAAGGAGAAGTACACAGAACTGGTTCAGAGCCATGCCGACCTGCTGCGCAAGGTGGGACAGCCAGGCCTCGTCCATCCCCCACACCCACACCACCTGGAGAGGCAGTAAGGGCCTGCATTTCATGGGAACCCCAGCTCTCAAGCCCCTTGTCTCCCCTGTCTTGACCTCTGGCCTGAATGCCAGCCCCACTTAAGAGTTACCCCAACCCGGGCACTGGTGGCTCCTGCCTATAATCCCAGCCATTCAGGAGGCAGAGATCAGCAGGATTGAGGTTCGAAGCCAGCCCAGGCAAATAGTTCACAAGACCCTATCTTGAAAAACCCAACACAAAAGTAGGGCTGGCGTAGTAGCTCAAGGTGTAGGCCTTGTGTTCAAACTCCAGGACCGCAAAAAATAGAGTTACCCCCATATTTGTTAGTTTTGTAAATACTTGAGAGTCTAACATCTGGAGGCATTGCTTGATTGTGGCTTCCCTCTGGGTAGGAAGTGACACTGAAGTCCGACTTCAGTGTCAAGGGAACCTTTGGTTCTTCCCTTACAGAACGCAGAGGTGACCAAACAGGTGTCTGTGGCCAGGCAAGCCCAGGTGGATTTGGAAAGAGAGAAAGAGGAGCTGGAGAGTTCCTTCAAGCGCGTGAGTGACCAGGCCCAGCGGAAGGTGAGTGGAAGGCCCAGCACTGGGGGAGGGGGCTATCTGTCCCAGGTGGGCCTTGAGAGCCTCACAGATGAAAGGACTTTGTCACCTGCCCCCTTGGATGGCTCCGAGAGTGTCTTTGGAGGCCACATAGAAGGACACAGTCACCAATGCATGCATGGCTTAGGGTCCAAAGCAATAAGGGACCTAAGCCACATGGGCTCATCAGCAAAATCTTCCCAAAGTCAAGGCTCAGGAGAGTTTGAGAAAGGGACACGCGTTCACCAAGACTTGCAGATAGAAGGACACCGTTGTTTTGTGATCAGGGCTCAGGGGCGGAAGACGAGATGCCAGAGGAATGAAACCCAGAGCCTAGGACTTAGAGGGATATGTGATCCAAAGTAAAACTCATATCCGTCTGGTGAGGCGTGGTGGTTCACGCCTGTAATCCCAGCACTTGGAAGATGAGGCAGGAGGATTGTGAGTTTGAGGCCAGGCTGGGTTATACAGCAAACCCTGTCTCAAAAAATAAAAATAAAAAAAAAAGAAAAGAGAAGAATAAAGAAACAAAAAAAAGTCTTATCTAATGGAAATAAAGTAGTTTCACCAAGACATACTGTACTCGTCCCGTGTGGGGCATTTGGATAAAATCTATTGTATTTAATCCATATTTTTAATGTTAGCTGTAAATTCTCCTAAGGTAGCAAATGCTCTTCGAAAATTATCACTTAGAGATCTGGGCGCCATTGGCTCCCGCCTGTAATCCCAGCTACTTGAGAGGCTGAGATCACGAGGATCTCAGTGCCAGGCCAACCCTGGCAAGTAGTTCATGAGACCCCATCTCAACAGGAATGGGGTGGCAGTGGTGTACACTTGTCGTCCCAGTGATGACAGGAAGCTTAAAAAAGGAGGATCGTGGTCCAGGCTGGCCTGGGCAAAATCTGAGACCCCATCTCCAAAACAACCAGAGGAAAGAGGACTGGAGGCTCAAGTGGTAGAACACCTGCCTAGCAAGTGCAAAGACCTGAGTTCAAATCCCATTCTGCCAAAAAAGAAAAAGAAAGAAGGGAAGAAAATGGGAATTGCTACCTAAAAGTCAAAGAAAGGGAGTCATTTCAAGATGGCGAGATGCTGCATCCAGGTGTTGGGATGTGTCAATTAAAGATCCAGCTCAACCTGAATCACAGTATAAAGGGCTCACTCACGGATGACATGGGAAATGTCCCTAAGAGCCCTCTGTTGACATTCCCTGTAGCCAGAAGCAAAGCTGCTGATACAGGCTGGAATATCACCTCCTTTCACTCTGCCCCCCACCACATGTGTGCTTTTTGTTTTGTTTGGGGTTTTTTGGGCGGTACTGGGGTTTGAACTCAGGGCCTTACAGTTGCTAGGCAGGCACTCTACCACTTGAGCCACTCTGCCAGCCTTTTTCTGTGTTGGGTATTTTTGAGATGGGGGTCTCTGAACTATTTTCCCAGGCTGGCTTCAAGCCTTGATGCTCCTGAGCTCTGTCTCCTGAGTAACTGGGATTACAGGTGTGTGCCACCATACCTGTGCATTTATATCTCCTCTCTAACCACTACCCAGCTCAGGGTCCTCCTGCTTTGCTCGTCTTTCAGACTCAAGAGCAGCAGGAAGTTGTAGAGAGCTTGAAGCAAGAACTTGCTACCAGCAGACAAGAGCTGCACGTCCTCCATGGCAGCCTGGAAACCTCTGCCCAGGTGAACCCCAGGCTCCTCCCCGCTCTCAGCCCCTAGCATCCCTGCCTGCGGTCAGACTGACCCCAGCTATGATCCGAGTGAATTCAGGCACAGATGGAAGAGACATTGCCTTCTGTTCCTGAGGGCCAGGCCGGGGGCTTGGACCTCTGGGAAGGGGACGGTTTAATTTTCAAATGTCTTTTCTTCCCACATGGCTACATCTGCAGTCAGAGGCAAAGCAGGCGACACAGATCGCAGAACTGGAGGAGGAGCGGGGCAGCCTGGTGAGCACCGTGGCTCATCGGGAGGAGGAGCTGTCAGCCCTCCGAGAGCAGCTGGAATCCACCCAGGTCAAGCTGGCAGGTGCCCAGGCAAGTGGTGGACACCCATTTGGGCCAAACAACTACAGACTTATACCCACAGGCCTTGGCATGCACATGGGAGCTAGCAAGAAGATGCCCTCATTCCATAGGCGCAACTCCTAACGCTAGTCAGGGAGCAGAAGACAAGTGCCCTCTTTGTAATATAAGAAGGGAAGCACTTAGCTAGGCATGGTAGCTCACGCCTGTAATCCCAGCTGCTTGGGAGGTAGTCTGAGACCAGCTTGGGCAAAACATTAGCAAGACCCCCATTTCAAACAAGCCAAGCTTGGTGGTGCAGACTGTAATCCCAGCTATGCAGGTAGGAGGATTGTGGTACAAGACTGATGTAAGCAAACAGCGTGAGACCCTATTTGAAAAATAATTAAAGCAAAAAAGGGCTGGGGACTCATTTGGTGGAGCACTTGCCTAGCAAGCACAAGACCTGAGTTCAAAACTCAGCATCACACTTAGCATTCTACCCTAGGAGTAGAGGATGGCCTGTCACAGCTGTCCATCCCAGAGCCTCCCACGCTCAGTCATGCACATCTCAGGTCAAAGCTTTCGGAATTAAACTAACCTGCTTCGACCTCATCACTGGCAACCTGAGCTAAGGAGCCAGGAATCCTGGGTGGACGCTACTCGGGGCTCCCTGGCAGACTCATTTTCTGGGTCATTTCTAGGAATCTGTCTGCCAGCTCGCAAAAGACCAGCGGAGAGCACTCCTGTTGGGGTCCCGGAAGGCTGCGGAGCGTGTGATCCAGGAGGCCCTGAGCTGGCTGGAGGAGCCCACCCTTGTCAGCTGTGCGGGATCTGCAGGTGCTCTTCCCATCTACCCACCCCGCCTGTGGGTGGGGGCCCCTTACTGGGTCAGCTCACCCATCAGCGCCTCAGCAAGGAGGTGAAGCAAGCGATGAGAACTCTTGTCTAACTTTGCCCTCTTCCCTCTCACAGATCACCTACTTTCCAAGGTCAAGTCTGTTTCCAGCTGCCTCGAGCAACTGGAAAAGAACCACAGCCAGTATCTGGCCTGCCCAGAAGGTAAGAAGGCAGAGGATAGACTCTATGAGTGGTGGCCACCAGGCAGGGTTCAGAAATGCTGAAATGAGCTGGGTGCGGTGATACACGCCTGTAATCCCTGCATTCAGGAGTTTGATATAGGAGGCTTGTGAATTTGAAGCCAGCTTGAGATACATAGTGAGTCCCTGTCTCAAAAAGACAAAAGAAGTAGCTAAAATATGGAAACAGTGACAAGTTCCTGTGTCCTGAGGGAAAGTGTGTGTAACCGGAAAGCAGAGGAGGTGAGAACATGGCACCCTCCACCAAGCCTGAGACACTTCTTCCCGCTCCCTGCAGACATCGGTGGGCTTTTGCACTCGGTCACCTTGCTCGCCCACTTGACCAGTGACACCATTGCCCATGGGAGCGCCACCAGCCTCCGAGCCCCTCCGGAGCCCGCTGACTGTAAGTACCAGGGTCAAGGGGGCGCTCCTAAAAGCAGGGTGGACAGTCTTTAACCGGCCGTCTCCTTGCGTCCCCAGCTCTGACCGAGGCCTGTAAGCAGTGTGGCAGGGAAACCCTGGCCTTCCTGTCCTCCCTGGAGGAAGAGGGAGCCGTGGAGAAGGCCGACAGCACGGCCCTGAGGACCTGTCTTCACAAGATCAAGGCCATTGGCGAGGTATTTCCAGTGTTTCTCCTGCGAGGAGGGAGGCTGGTGAATTTCCAGCGGTCACTGGGGCTGTGCCCTGTTCCTTCTGCCAGTATAGCTTGATTCCAGAAGGATCTCAGGTTCAAGTCCAGCCTGGGCTGTGCAGTGAGGCCCTACCTCAAAACCCAACAAAGAAAATTAAATGAATGAAAGCAGCGTGGTAGAAAGGTGACGGGCGGATGTCCTCCCTGGTAGTAGGGCTGCCCGGGTGTTCAGAGAATTTTTCCATCAGAGGTCACGGAAACTGCCGGGTAAAATTTGAAAAGGGGGTTGGCGGAGTGGCTCAAGTGGTAGAACGCCTGCCTGGTGAGCATGAAGGCCTGAGTTCAAACCCCAGTACCATCAAAAAAAAAAAATTAAATTTTTTTCATTCTATGGCTAAGAGTCGTACTTTTAAAAAATGTTTAAAAACTGAGTGGCTGAACTGGCTAAAAACTAAGGAAATTCTTGGGATTGGCGGCCACAGGCTAGTAGCATCACTGCTTGTCCAATAGTTTTTTTCGCGTCTCTGGATTTTAATGAGCAGAAGAATAAGAAAGAAAACCTAAGATGAAGAAGGTACGAGATTGAAATGGAGGTCCTTCCTCCCCAAAACAGAGCCCTGAGGGATTGCACCCTGAGTCTGGGATATCCTCTAAGTACAAACTAATAATAACTTCGCATGTCAATGCAAGGCAGCGACAGTGCTGGAAAAAAAAAAGCCTGCACTACAGGAATGACTTGCCATCCTTGGCGCTGAGAATAGAAAACACAGGTCCCTGGGGAATTTCTAAGCGCAAGCTACCGTGGGTTCAGGATTCAAATTTCATGCTATCCACGTGGCTTGAAAAACCCAAAGAGAAAGATAAATTCAAAGTAGTCAGGTTGCCACTAGGCACCATGCGGCTCACACCTGTAATCCCAGCCACTTGGGAGGCTGACTGGGAGGATAGAAGTTTGAGGCCAGCCCAGGCAAATAGTTCACAAGACCCCATCTCCAAAATTAACCACAGCAAAATGGACTGCAGGTGTGACTCAGGCACTAGAGAGCCTGCTTTGGAAGTACAGAGTCCTGAGTTCAAATCCCAGTCCCATCAAAACAGAAAAAAAAAAGTATGACAAAGGCCAGGTGTGGTCCTGTGCCCCGTACTCTCAGCCCTTGAGAAATTGAGGCAGTAGGGTCTCGATGCTCAGACCAGCCTGGGCTGCATATTGAGGGCCTGTCTCAAAAACTGGGGGACGAGAGTGTATCTTAACTGTATAGAGCATCTGCTTAGCAAGTGCAGGGCCCCAAGTTCAAAAATTAAAAAATTTTTTTAATGTAACAAAGGAATGATATTTTCAAAAATAGTAAGATACATCTGAAGAACAAAAGTTCACAAGTTCAAGTACACAGCACCGTCAACAAAGCTGAAGCAGGATTAATAAACTGGATTACAGGAATTCTAGCAGCTGCAGCCCTGGACTAACATACAAGACATGGAGAATGACATGTCTGATCAACTTCCAGAGGAAGATGACAGAAAAGTCTTTCTATCCATCCTGATTTTCCTCCCTAAATAGTACAGTATTGGCTTTGTGTGTTAAGGTCTTTATATAAATGAAGTCATGTGTATGTCTAACACTTGCTTTTCCCACAACATTTTGTATTTGAGATTCAACCATGAGTACACATTCATTTTCAGTGCTCTGTAATATTCCATTGTGACCATAGATTACATTACCTCGCTGTTCTCTTGTTGAGAGATTGCGTTATTTCTGGTTTAGTCTATTTTGAATACATCCCTGTGGTCGTTGTACACAATCTCCTGATGCCTGTTTGTATGACTTCACCTGGAGTATACACCTAGAGGTATAATTACGAGGTTATAGGATAAATTTCACGCGTAGAACATTAAAGAAAAACTCAAGTCGTGGATAAATACATTTAATATGATTCCTTTTATAAAGACCAAAATATTCAAACTTAACAATATATTACTTAGGGATGCATCCTTAAAGGGTCAAAAAAGAAACACGATAATTTCACTTCTGAATTCTCTGTTTTACCTGAGAGGGTGGAGGGGTAAAGGGAGAGAATCCGGGTAGGATAGAAGGAAAATTCAAAGGCAACGAGTTTCAAATGCTAACGCTTCTTAGGTTTTTCCTGAAGTTGACGGGTGGACAACGTGAGTCTTTAATCTCTGTTCTGAATTTAGTTAACACTGCATAAAAACATAAGCGTTGTGCATATTACTGGAATACTAAATAATAGTTCCATACGTGTATGCATTATATAATACATTGCATTTTTCTATTCTTTATGCTCTAGTACGAGTAACACGTGTTTTTAAAAATCACAGGCTTTCCATCAGTCAGATCTAAGTTCAAATCCCTGCTCTGCCTTTGATTAGCAATGTAACTGTGACTGAGAGTTTTTGCTCTCTGAGCCTTGGCTTCCCATCTACACAGCAGAAACTGACACTGCGTCAGTAGAAGCAAATTTAAATCAGACTCAGACTTTTGGGACAATGCCACCTACATTTTGAACCATTTTTATGAAATTCCCATGTAAGCAGGGCATGATGGGCACACCCATAATCCCAGCTACTCGGGAGGCGAGGTAGGAAGAGCTCCAGTCCCAGCCAGCCCAGGCAAAGTTACTGAGACCCTGTCTCAAAGACAGACGTACAAACGGAAGGGCTGGGGGTATGGCTCAAGTGATAGAACGCTTGCCTAGCATGTGTGAGTCTCTGGGTTCAATCCCTAGTACCACCAAAAAAAAAAGAAAGAAAGAAAGAACCTTCGCCATGCTGTTCCTAGGAGCTGCTGCCCAGGGGCCTGGACATCAAACAGGAGGAGCTGGGGGACCTGGTGGACAAGGAGATGGCTGCCACGTCAGCTGCCATTGAAACTGCCACGGCCCGGATCGAGGTAGGAGGATTCAGCAGGATCTCCTGAAGCTACATTCTTGTGCCGGCTGCCTTCGGACGACTTTGCCCCTTAGCAGAATCTTAGACATTTATGAGTGCTACAGAGGCCCTTATAAAAGAAACAAGGAGGCTGGGGCATGGTGGTGCTTGCCTGTAATCCCAGCTACTCGGGAGGCAGTAGGAGGAGGATCAAGGTCTGGGGCCAAGCCAGACAAAAAGCAGGAGATGCTTTTTTGAAAAACAAACTAAGCACAAAAGGGCTGAGGGTGTGGCCCAAGTGGTAGAGCACCGGCCTAGCAAGCATGAGGCCCTGAGTTCAAATCCCACTATTGCCGAAAAACAGACTCAGTGCTTCCGTGACGGGTAGAAAACAAGAAGGTTGTCACTAAAGGAGGGTGAGTCTTTTCAAGGGCTTGATCCTTTAGAACCATCTGGTTCACGCTCCAGAATGACTGCCTATTAGTAATGACTTCTCTAAGTTCCATCCACCTAGGTCAGATTTGGATTCCATTTCTATGAGGTGGCAGTAATAGCAATAGGTACCCAAGTGGTAGCCCTAACCAGTGGTAATAAGTCTCAGGAAATCTGAACAGCCACCATTGTAAGGTGACATATCACTCCAGCCACCACCGTGGTGTGAGCGCCTGCCTCTGGGACCTGACCTGGTAGCATCGCCCCCTTTGATCTGGGGTCGTAGCTCTCAGTGCTCGGTGCACATCAGCTGGGTGTCCCCAAAGACAAGGCCACCTGCAGCTGTCTTCCACCCAGATAGCCGGGAGGCTGACCTCTTCCTAACTCTCACAAAGGACATATGTGCTTGGGGACTTCTAGATTGAAGCTGCTCAGCCACCATGGGCTTTGGTGGCTTTTTTGTACTTGTGACACGTATAGAAACCATGGTTCTCTTTAACAGGAAATGCTCAGCAAATCCCGAGCAGGAGACACAGGAGTCAAGTTGGAGGTGAACGAGAGGTCAGTCTGAACCTCGGGGACCCATCTTCCTCTGTTGGAGGCGACCCTGTGTGCCAGGAGGGGGATGGAAACAGAACTTAGCCGCCATAGGGAGTTGCTGGTGCATTATGGGGGAAACGAAGCCCTCTGGAGCAGACTTCGCTTCCCTGGGAAGAAGATCGTGGTCAAACCTTCACGGAGGGCTGTCCTTCCCCCAGAGTGGTCTGGCACCTTCCCTGACCCTCATTCCCATGCTGAGCTCCCTTGACTTGGGAGGGAGAAAGAGACAGTCTCTGTGCTCTGGATCTCAGGGTCTCTGACTTGGTTCTTTTTATTTCTAACAGGATCCTTGGCTCCTGTACCAGCCTAATGCAAGCCATCCAGGTCCTGATTGTGGCTTCGAAGGACCTCCAGAGGGAGATTGTGGAGAGTGGCAGGGTGAGCGTGGCTGTGACCCCGGGCCGGGGACCATGGGCATTCACTGAAGTGTGGCTGGGGGCCAGCTCGTCCTGGGTCCATCGAAGGCCCATAGATGTCAAAGCAGGGTCCTGGCAGCCCTCAGAGGGGAGTCAGCACAGCTTCCAGCTCCCATGTGCGTACCCCAAACAGGCTTGCTTTGCAACCCCATTTATCTTGCAGGTGTGGGTCTGTGAAACTAGGTGGATCCCAAGAGCAAATCTAGTATAATCTTCCCTTGAGATTGTGAGGGATGGGTTCCAGGACCTTATCGGATACCAAAATCCAGAGGCTCAAGTTCCTTTTATAAAATGATGTAGGGCCAGGCATGGTGATGCATGCCTATAATCCCAGCACTTCGGAGGCTGAGGCAGGAGGATTATAGCCTAGGCTGCAGAATGAGTTCAAGGTCAACCTGCACTACATAGCAAGACCCTGTCTCACAAAACCTTAAACAACAACAAAAAAACCACTTGGAAGTTGTTCAGTGATGACTGATAATACGTGCTACAGCGTAACTGCTGTGTAAACAGCCACATGCCCAGCCTGCGCCAGCTGGGTTCCTCCCCTGTCCCATGTGCAGCTGCAGTGTGGGAGCTGTGTGTCCAGGGCGGGGTTGGAGCCTGGACCAAGTCCTGGAGAGAAAGCAGGCAGATCTGCCTCTGAGGTATTTTTTTACAGTCAGGGCAATATTTCTATTCCTAAAATAGAAAGACAGGCCAAACAGGAAACTGCAGGCCCTCAGACTCAGACATTTCCCCAGCATAAGCACATTTTTTAAATCCAAGTCAAAATCATTTTTTAAAATTTTCCACTGTTGGGCTGGTGGAGGGGCTCAAGTGGTAGAGCACCTGCCTAGCAAGTGCTGAAGCCCTGTGTTCAAGCCCCAGTACCACCAAAAAAAATTTCTTTAAAATTTTCCACTGTGACCAGGCATGTGATACATACCTATAATCCCAGACACCCGGGACATGGAGGTAAGAGGATCAGAATTCAAGGCCAGCCTGGAACAAAAGTGAGAAATGCTTTCTGAAAAATAAACTAAAGGCAAAAAGACCAGAGGTGTGGCTCCAGTGGTAGAGCACTTGGGCTCTGAGTTCAATACCTAGTATCACAAAAAAAGAAAAGAAAAGAATCATTTAGTGGGTATTGTCTCCTTTTGGCAAAGCACAGAAAGCAGCTCCACTCTTGGGTCATAAATCACTCACAATATTTCCACTATGTGCAGTCATCCCTCCGTGTCCACAGGGAAGTAGTTCAGTATCCACTACCGATCCAAAAACCTTTGAGGCCCAAGTGCGCTATGTAAAATGGCAGAGTACTGGAGTGTGACCTGCACACATTTCTCCTGTACACCTTAAGTCATCTGCAGCTTACTTATAATTCCCCATACAGCGTAACTGCACAGGAGCCCATGTGTTCTGTGTTCAATACATAAGTAATTTTTTCCCAAATATTTTGGATCTGCAGTTGATGGATTCTGTAAGTGTGGAATCCTTGGGCACGGTGGGCAACTGTGGAAATAGTGTTATAATAGAGACGGGCTCCTGTGGCTCACGCCTGTAATCCCAGCTACGCAGGAGGCAGCAATCAGGAGGATCATGGTTCAAAGCCAGCCTGGGCAAATAGTTCATGAGACCCTATCTCAAAAAAACCCTTCATAAAAAAGGGCTGATTGAGTGGCTCAAGGTGAAGGCCCTGAGGTCAAACCCCAGTACCACAGAAAAAAAATAATAGTGATATAATAGAAACGTGACTGGCTTTGCAGCCAGAAAAGCCTATTAATTTCCTCTGTAATCTCTGGGAAGTTATTTTTGCCTCTCAGAATCTTAGTTTTCTTATCTGTAAAATGGGAAGAAGAATGTTCTTTCTTGGAATTACAGTGAAGCTTACGTGTGCGTAAGCACTTGGCGCGTGGTAAGCCCTACCTGAACGTAGCTCTTACTATTTCTTACTTCTGTAGGGTACCGCCTCCCCTAAGGAATTTTATGCCAAGAACTCTCGATGGACAGAAGGACTTATCTCAGCCTCCAAAGCAGTGGGCTGGGGAGCCACCGTCATGGTGTAAGTGTCTGTGTCCACAGCCCCTCCCAACCCTCATTCCACTGATACACTCCAACAGTGACTAAGGGAGAAAAAAATACCTGTCTCATATCATAGCTGAGTGTGGAAGCACACATTTGTAATTCTAGCACTCAGGAAGCTGAGACAGGAGAATCATGGGTTCAAGGCCAGCCTGGGCTACAGAGTGAGTGAGACCCTGGCTTAAGAAGGTTGGGAGGCTGGGTGCCGGTGGCTCACGCCTGTAATCCTAGCTACTCAAGAGGCAGAGATCAGGAGGATTGGAGTTTGAAGCCAGCCCAGGCAAATAGTTTGTGAGAACCTATCTCAAAAAAAAAAAAAAAAAATCACAAAAAAGGGCTGGTGGAGTGGTTCAAGGTGTAGGCCCTAAGTATTGCAAAGGAAAAAAAAGGCGGGGAGGCTGGGGGTGTTGCTCAGTGATAGAGCGCTTGCCAAGCGTACTTGAGATCCTGGGTTTGATCCCTAGTGCTGCCAAAAAGAAATCTGTCCCTGAAAACAGCTGACAGGGAAGTCAAAAGGACTAAAAGTTTGAAATTGCCTTGGGGTCTCCTGGGATGACAGGGGCAGGGCAGCAGGCTGTCCTCCTTACCCACCCAGCCAGGGCCACAGGACTGTGCTGGTGGTGGGATTGTGAGGATTTCTGCTATGTGTGACCTCGTCCCTCGTGTCCTTTCCTGGCTGTCAGGGACGCTGCTGATCTTGTGGTGCAAGGCAAAGGGAAATTTGAGGAGCTCATGGTGTGTTCACATGAAATTGCTGCTAGCACAGCCCAGCTTGTGGCTGCATCCAAGGTACGTCCTGCACTGGACTCCCCAGGACACTGTAAGGCCTGGCTAGGTTAGAGAGTACTTGGGCCAACCAGGCATGTGGTGAATGCCTATAATCCCAGCTCTGGGGAGGCTAAGATAGGAGGATCTCAAATTCACTGCTGGCCTGGGCAACATAGCAAAACCCTGTCTCAAAGAAAGAAAAAAGAAGCCAGGTGCCAGGGGCCCACACCTTTAATCTCAGCTTCTCAGGAGGTAGAGATCAGGGGGATCATGGTTCAAAGCCAGCCCGGGCAAATAGTTCACAAGACCCAATCTCAAAAACCCATCACAAAAAAAAAAGCTGGTGGAGTAGCTCAAGGTGTAGGCCCTGAATTCAAACTCTAGTACTGTTAAAAAAAAAAAAAAGAAGAAGAAGAAAGAAAGAAAAAAAGAGTATTTGGGCCATGAAACTGAACCCAAAGACCAGTTCATTTATCCACAACCCAGGTCAGTTTGTCCCAAATAAAAATTCTTCCTGTCAAGACTCCAGTGTCATCCTCTTCTAATTCCTAATTTCTCTGAGCACAGAGACCCTCCACCCAGCTTGCCACGTGTGCAGTTTGTGTTCTCCTCACTTTGTTAAGTGAGGGTCCCAGCCATGCCAGCCTCCAAGGTGTAACCCCAGCATTCAAAGAAGAAACTGGTTGGTGTAGTCAATGGGCCACCTGCGTGGCTGTAAGATTCCATATAACCAATATCTGCCCCTCATTAGTCTTCAGACTTGAACCCAGACCCCAAGTATCTTTGTGCAAAGCTTGTAACTAAAATCTTTGCCCAAGTTAACTCTCCCTGAGAATCCTCGTTCCCAGGAACCCATGGGTTCTTCATTCCTCATTTCTTACTGTTCCAAATAATTTTGCAGAACTGGAACAGTCTATCTAAATAAGGGAGAAATTGCAGTCACTGAGCCAATAAGCCAGGAATCATTGTTTATATTATAGACGTTGCAGAAGCCAGCTTCACAGGGATCTGTGACATCAGTGCCTTGTATGTATTTGTCAAGAACCATTAGGCCATGCATTCAAGCCAGGTGTGCACCAGGTGTGCTGTGAACCTAAATTTGCTGTGTCCTGACAGGTGAAAGCTGATAAGGACAGCCCCAACCTGGCCCAGCTGCAGCAGGCCTCTCGGGGGGTGAACCAGGCCACGGCTGGGGTGGTGGCCTCAACCATTTCTGGAAAATCACAGATTGAGGAGACAGGTAACCTTTCAGCTGTTCTCTGCATTTTCCCTTCGATCTCAGCTTCTCATGGTTCTGGTTCTACGTTCTCTCTTACTGTTCATCTTTTTGATGTCCACACTGATCTTGTAACATGAGTCACCACTTCTGCATACTGCTTAGATTGCCACAGTGCTGGGCCCTTAAACAGATTTCTCTCAATTCAGAGAAATGGCTCTGCAGACCTGGTTGCCCCTGTTAGAAATATCTTTAAGATTTTGGGGTGTCACAAGAGAGAGACGACACAATTCAGAAGTCAACAGGCCAGGAAAAATGTACTTCTGCAGAAGGATGCACCACAGACAAAGAGCAAGCACACCGGGTCGGGAAGTCCACTTGGGTTTTGTTCTAACGCAGTGCTGCCCCTCCCCTGGATTGGGCAGGTTTCGGGTTCACAGTCTACTCAGTTGGCTAATTGGACAGGGGACATCGGGAGGGACTTTGAGGACACAGAAGTTTAAAAGCTCAGGGAAGCAACAATTGTTTTAGTTTATCAGAATGAGAACCAGGGCATCTAGCAGGATTTTGTCCGGCTGAGGATAACGACCCTTTGTTCTTAATAGAAGCTTTCATCAGGCTGAGCAGAGTCCATGAAGCGTGCATATGGGAAGCGAGTTAGTGAGACTAACATTCGTAACAGCGGTGGTTACTGAGCAGATCCTTTGACAGAAAAGCCCCAACCTAAGCTGATTCCCACACCCCTGGAGAGGTCAGATCCTGGTAGCCCCAGAAGCTCTTGATCCTTCCTTCCTCTTCCTCCTTCAGTTACATTCCTGTGTGTGTTGGCAGATGGTAAGCCAGGCATTCCAGTGGTGCATTGGCACTGCCACTTCCCAGGTGAGCATTAACCAGGGACATTAGTTGACAAGACCTTATTTCTGTCCTTGCAGACAATATGGATTTCTCAAGCATGACATTGACCCAAATCAAACGTCAAGAGATGGATTCCCAGGTAAGAAAGCCAAGGCCTCCTGGTGCAGTGGCTTATTCCTGTAATCCCAGCTACATGAGAGGCAGAGATCAAAAGGATCTCAGTTCAAGGCCAGCCAGAAAAGTTAGTAAGATCTTATCTCAACCAATTAAAGCTTGGTGTGGTGCTATGTGCCTGTTATAGATCCAGGCCAGCCCAGGCATAAAGTGAGACCCTAGCTCAAAAAAATAACCAACACAAAAAGGGTTGGTGGAGTGGCTCAAATGGTAGAGCACCTGCCCTAGCAAGCATAAGGCCCTGAGTTCAAACCCCGGTGCTGCAGAAGAAAAGAAAAAAGAAAAAGAACACTGAGGCCATCTTTAGACTGTCTCTGTTGCCTAGATGCCAACCCCACAGACTGCTCCCATGGAGAGAAGCCAGAGAGGCTGGGGAAAATAAACAGAGTTGCATCTGCTAGTCCCAGACTGGAAGAAAGTGATGCTGGAAGGAACCAGAGGGAGGGAGATGCGGAGAGGCAGATAGTAAGGACTGATGATGCTCTAACCATGACCAGAGGTGATCTAGTAACCACCAAGTTAGTATTTGATAGTCTTTCTTTAGAATTGTTTTAAATCTTCTGATATAAATTAATTGTAGGTAACTTTTAGTTTAAAAAAAATTTATTCACCAAGCATGGTGATGCATGCCTATAATCCCAGCCCTTGGGAGGCTGAGGCAGGAGAATCTCAAGTTTTAGCCCAACCTGGGCTACATAGCAAGATCCTGTTTCAAAGAATAAATAAATAAATAAATTCTCTCTTAACTTATCCAAGGCAATGCTATTTCTTCCTGTGGTTAAGTAAAGTTTTACCAGGCAACACAGAACTCAGTGGAATTCTGGGAAAAAAAAAGTGGAGTAGGGGTGAAACCTAGATTGGGGTTGTTAAAATCCTACAGATGGTTATTCAGCATGTTTTTAAAAAGTCATGTGGCCAAATTCTATCCAAATACAGAAAGCACCCTTGCTGATGGCCTCACCCAGGCCTCTGACTTAACTCCATGATAATCCCAGATCTTCTCTCTGGCCTAGCTCGCCTCCTTGGGCCCTTGACTCCATACTTATCCACCCATCTGCTTGTTAATCACCACGGGATACCCAGCAAGCATCTCAAACAACACAGCCAAAGGACATCCCTGTCAACGTCTTCCCTGCCCTCCAAATGGCACTGCCAGCCGCCCACCTGGGTGCTGAGCCTCAAACCTGGGAGTCACCAGTGGTTCCTCTTTCCCTCACCCTCTGTCTACATCCCATCCGTCAGCAAGTCCTGCCAACCCAGTCTCCGAAACTGAGCCTCAGTCTGTCCACTTCTTTCTGTCTCCTTGCTATTTTGAGCCTCCATTGTCTGTCTTCAACCCGCAGCAAGAGCAGCTGTTTTGTTTCAAAGCCATCCCCTGCATGGCCGGGTGGTGGGGGAAGAAAGGGAGTTTACTGAGACAGGTCCAGTCGTGAGTGGGTAGTTGGTAGAGGTGGGTGAAAGACACTCTCCTTGTCTCCATCCTCCTGTGGGTGTTTCACATTTTCTGTAATAAATTTTAGTTTAAAAAAAAACTGGTCATGCTGGCGCATACTTGTAATCCGAGCACTTGGGAGGCTGAGGCAGAAGGACTGTGAGTTTGAGGACAGCCCTGAGATACATAACAAGACCCCATCTCAAAAAAAAACCTATACAGCTGGACACAGTGGTACACACCTGTAATCCAGCTACCCAGGAGGCAGAGATGAGGAGTATCTCACAATTTGAGGCCAACCTGGGCAAAAAGTCAGTGAGACCCCATCTCAACCAATAAACCGGGTATGGTGACATACACCTGTGATTCCCAACTATGTGGGAGGCAAAAGTAGAAGGATTGCAGCCTGAAGACAGCCCAGACAAAAACACAAGAGCCTATATGAAAAGTAACTAAAAGCACAAAGGGCTGCACACACCTGCTAGCTCCTGCCTCCCACGTGCAAGAGTGTCCTGGCCCCCCATGATTAAAGAGAAGGGGAACCACCTTGCTAGGGCTCAGCCCTCTGAGGTCCATCCATTCTTCACATCATACTTTCAAAACATGGAGAACATGCCACTTCCATGCTTAACCCTTCCAGTGGCTTCCCTTTGCACACAGAACGACATCTGGGCTTCTTACCCAGCCATGGGCCCCGATGGCGATCCTGGTCCAAGTCTCAATTTCATCTCCCCACCCTCTCCTCTCTCATGTCTAGCACAGGACTCCTGCCATTCTCCCCACACCAGAGCTCCTTCCTGCCCCCGGGCCTTTGCACTTGCTGTGCCTTTGCCTGCCTGTTCTCTCAACAGCTCGGCCCCTTCAGCCATCTAGGTTCCAGCTCAAAAGTGACTTCCTGACAGTTGCCTTTGCTGGCGGCCTTGGTCTCCCTCATCGTCTTGCATTTCTTCTTAGCTTGTCTTGTTCATTTGTGTGTCCCTTCCCCCTGCTTGATAAACAGAGACTTCATCTGTGTGTTCTCTGCTGTGACTCCACCCTCTGAGCAAGCCTGGGGTGTATGGTGATGAGTATTTATTTCTTGAATCGATTGAAAAGGGCTTGCCAAGAACCTTCCTTTCGTGACACTGTCCTTGCCTTTCCCTATGGCAATGATAACCCTAAGTTGAGTGACGTCTCAGCAATAGCAGAGCAATCATATTTGGTTCCTCCCTGGTCTCCAGGGAGCTGGGGTTGAGGACAGGGTCACAGCAACATTAGAGCCCACCACACGTGCCGGGAAGCAAAACAGAGGTGTCAAAAGATGGCGACTTACCCAGGAAATGAAGCTGGGCCCACCCCCCAGCTAGGCATCTTTCCAGTAGAGGGTCTCAGTGAGAAGTGTAAGTGTGGGGGCAAGTGGGTGAGTGAGAGAACGAAGGAACCTCGGTATTGACCCAGGAACTCACCAGTCACTGCCATGCCCTCCCAGGTCACTAGCCTGCCAGCACCCCAGGAGTTGAGTCTGGCCAGCAGTGTCAAAATAACGGTAGGAAGATCGCAGTCTGACACCAGCCCCAGGCAAAAGGGCTAGGGACATGGCTCAAGTGGTCACAAGGCCCCAAGTTCAAGTCGCAGGACCTCTCCCAGAAAAAGAACCTCAAGACTGACCGAGCATTGATCAGAGCAGAGTTGAAATTGAGGACTGAGTGGACTATGGAAGTGGGGTGCACAGGATGGAAGAAAGCTGAACACATGAACAGGGTTCAGTTAGAAGAATGCAGATGTCAGAGTTGATCAAAAGCATGGTGGCACAAGCTTGTAATCCCTGGATTGGGGAGGTGGAGGCAGGAAGGTCATGAATTCGAGGCCAACCTGGGCTTCACAGTGAGATCCTATGTCAGTAAAACAAAAAGGAAATTCTACTTCCTTTCCCAACAGGTTAGGGTACTGGAGCTAGAAAGTCAACTACAGAAGGAGCGGCAGAAACTAGGGGAGCTTCGGAAAAAACACTATGAGCTCGCTGGTGTTGCTGAGGGCTGGGAAGAAGGTAAGCTGCCCTGAGGACTGGTAGTGCCACAGCAGGGAAGGAAACAGTGTGGCCAGGGCCTTGCCCTCTAACTGAACAAGGAACCCTCACGTTCCCCACTTCTTCCTCCTCTTCTCCCTTCATAGAGCCTGTTTTCATTTATCAGTAGCCTTAAGCTGCAGTAGACTGGTGAACTGAAAGCTTTCGTGTCACCCTTTAAGACCTGAAGGTGTGGTGCACACCTGTCATCCCTGCTACTTGGGAGGCGGAGGTAGGAAGATCACTGTCTGAGACAGGCTCTGGGCAAAAGCGCAAGACCCTATCCAAAAAAATAAAATGGGTTGCGAGGCTCAAGTGGTCACAAAGCCCTGAGTTCAACCCCCAGTACCACCAAAAAAAAAAAAAAAAAAAAAAAAAGCCTCAACATTGACCAATAAACTTTTCACTCACTCACCACCATGCCCTCTCAGGCCACCAGCCTTGTTACCACCCCGGGAGTTTTATCTGGTCAGCAGAGTCAAATAGTGGTCAGTGGAGACCCAGCAGTCGGGGCAAAACAATTACAAGGTTGTAACTATCTAGAGCTAAAAAGACAGAAAATGGCCAAGAGATAGGAAGGCTGAGGCCTCCAGGCCAGAGGCCCAGCACTGTATGGAAACTGTGCTTGTGCGCACCACTCCTCTGCACATCCAGCTGGCTAACTTACACTGGAGGTGTGGCTCGAATGGTAGGGCACCTGCCTTGCAAGCGTGAAGCCCTGAGTTCAAACCCCAGTCCCACCAAAAATAAAATGGCTAACTTGTTGAGTCTTGTTGGACTTGACCAACTCTGGGAACCAGCCATAGATACAGCAGAGTGATGGAGACACTGAACCTGGGGAGCACGCGATTACACTGTGATTGTGGTTGGGATTTTAGAGCCCGACATGGTAGCAGTTTTGGTTGGTTTGATGAATGCATGCGCGCATTCAGTGCCTGCCATGTGACAAATTCCCCTTGTCTTTTAGGAACAGAATCAACCTCACCTTCACTTCAAGAAGCAGAACCCGAGAAAGAATAGAACCAAGCCAGCGGCCCCTATGTCAGTGTAAATCCTTGTTACCTATCTGTGTGTTTGTGATTCCCCCCCTCCACCCCCCACCCCGGTGATCCTGGGGTCACAGTGGCAGCCACACTACTCCAGTGAGACCTCCTCAGTTTGAACCCATGATCTGGGTTCCTCCCCATATCCCTAGGGTCCAGGCTGGCCTGTGTCGCCCATGTGCGAGCCTAGGTCCAAACAGGGGACAAGCCAGCACAGCCATCGCTGTCCTTCTGGGATCAGCTTCTTGGTGAGAGCTTGGAGGGGAAACACCTTATGCCTGTTCTTTTCTTTTTCCTTCTCAGTATTTCCCGTTTCATCATTTGCACAAACTTTCCAACATTGGGCGCTGGTGGACTCTAAACCTGGAGCTGCCTGAACCCGTGGTCAGAAGAGCGACGGTCCTAACCGAGCAGGCCACCTCGGCTCTCCCTGTCCTCTGGCTGGTCCACAGATTCTCGCTGCTTCTTAAGAGTGCTCGTTTGGGTCTTTTGGTTTCTTAGTTTCAAAGTTTCACTCATGTAGCCAACTCTCTGCAGAGGGCACACCCTGGAGTGTGAACATTCCGGGGGGTGGGGGGGTCCCCATGCCATGGTGCCACTCCGGCTCCGCCCTGGTGCTCCAGCTCAGCCTCCCCACTGAGCTGGCGAGGGCCGGTCAGCTGAGGCCATTCCCCACGGGCAGGTGACAGCAGTCCTCCAAAGGCCTCAGCAGAGCGAGTGCCTTGCCTTCCTCACGCTGGACGCCAGCTGAACACCTCTGTCCACCTCCATGAGCCACAGGGCACCCGAGAGTAACGGAGGATGCACGGGGCCCAGGTGTGCAGGAGACACCTGTCCACCCTTACCATGTAAGCTGGTGAGAACACCAACACTACTTCCCCAGAGTCACACAGGCCGCCACCCTTCAGAGGGAGCGTGTGGGGCCTTTCAGTTGCTTCTCCCACCTCCTGCCTCGATGTCCCCTTGAACCTGAAGATAGTTCTACGTGCTACTAAATCCACAGACCCAGCCGATCAGACCCACTTGTCCCATCTGAAAGCACCCTGGCTCTGTGTGGGGCCCTTATTTTCTAACTTCTGTCAAGCAACAGCAGCCTACAGGGACACTCAGAGCAATCAGGACAGCAGGTGACAATGGGCCAGGCTCACTGTGCCCTCCATCGTGTCTTCACAGATCACAAACAAGGCCATCCCTGGGCAGTGCTAGGCTTGGATCCCAAGGCAGGCAGGGAGAACAAGTAATGGGGACCACTGGCTGTGACCGCCCCCCCAGCCACACGATCCTGGCTCTCGCTGCCCTGTGGACAGGATGGGGACAGAGATCACAGCCCTTTACAGATGGGCAGCCTAACAACACTTTCCACTTCTTAAATGGACCCCCCCCCACGTTAAGTGACCTTCCGATCTTGGATAAACAGCGTCTTCCTTCTTCTCTGTAGCAACTCATAGGTGGGAGCCAGCAAGCAGCTCCTTGGACCTGTCACTACAGGATGTGGCTCTGTGGCTGTGTTCTGCTGTGTGATGGGTTCCAAGGCTCTGATTGGTCACTGTGAATCACCCTCCTCCTGTCTCACCCACCCCACCCACTCACACTGTCCCAGAAAGTCATATGAGCATTGTCAGATGGGTGCCCTGCATCCTGGGCCCGGGTGTCCGAGGTAGAAATTGGACAGGCTCATGTTGAATGTTCCTCTGTGCTTAGAGTTATTCCGAGGCTCAGAACCGCAGCGTGTGGCGCTCCTGGCCCACGTGTGCAAATACAGCCAGTTCGTTCTTGGTGTAGGTCAGCTTTCCCAAAGGTGGCCATCTGGAGTATCTTAAACCATCCAAATTGGTACCCCAAATTACCAATTGGGGGACCAATCGTATTGGAACAGATTAGGAATCTATGAATAACACCCCCTCTTAAAAAAGGAGCCTCTGAGCAGGGCTGGGGGAGGGCTCAAGTGGCAGAATGCTTGCCTCACATAAGCGTGAGGCCCTGAGTTCAAAACTCCAGTACTGCCAAAAGAAAATAAATAAATCCTCATGAGCTCAGCCTGAGTAATAAAACAGTCAAGAGCTAGAGCACAGGCTAATTGAATTGTCAGGTGAATGTCCCTACCTGGCAGATGTGATATAATTACTCTTATAATAGCACAGATTAGAACCTATGTCATTCTCGAACCCAAATCAAACTCCCCCCCACCTCAGCACTTCTAAAAACTGAGTGTGCTAGTGGGTGTGAAACACCTGTGATTAAAAACAAGAATCGCACCCTAAAGCTAAAAATACACCTCACAGCCTTTTAAATGAGTCGCCGGGCCTCCTGACAGCCTAAAGTCATGATGAGCATAGACAGATCCTAACCAGGCAGCACAATCATGACTGAGGATTGAAAAAGACTCCAAATCCAGCTGGTATTTTCTAATACAGTGCTCTAACTAGAATAAGAATATTTGTGTACATAATACGGGGGGGGGGGAAATAGAAGAAAAGGCCTACCTTCAAGGGGTTATTTTATATCTGAGCAAGGAATTTAAATTAGACTATAATTGAATTTGCTGATTCATGCTCATGGCGGAATCACTAGGATCTCACCTGATTATGAATCCTTAACCCAGAGGCTGGAAGAACCCAATACTATTGAGAGTGTCCTGACTTGGAATTGTTCTGGCCACCAAAGTTAACACCAAGTGACACGGGGATCACAAGTGCATGTCGTTATGGTCAGGTTAGTTTGCTTTGGCCTCCTCTTAGGAACAGTTGGCTCTCAGCTTGCATCTGGAACTTTCTCACTTCTTGGTCAGCTCCTTAAAGTAGACAGGTCTCCTGGCTACATTCACCCACGTCTTTAATAAGGTGGCAAAACGTCTTGATACCTTCTACCACCTTTCCAAGTCTCTGGAAATTCACGCTGGGAGGAAGTCCCAATGTTGGCCTTCCAAGGAGAGCAACTTTGCCCTGTTTCCACCACCTTGGTCCTCCAGAGACCACACACTGCCTGTAGCATAGGAAACCATGGAGTCTGCCAGCACCAACAATGACCCAGGCCAGCTGCTCCACTCAGTCTCCCAGGTCCAGACCAGATATGGAACCAGTGACACAGTGGTCACACTGCCTTCCCACTCCAAGAGGCAAGGTAATGGGAAACAACTGGCTGGTTGGATTCAGTTCTGAGAGTAGATCTTCCAAGGCATGTGTTTTTTTCAGGTGACCCTTAACTACCTCAGGTTTGGAGGCCCTAAATCAAGCTGATTACCACTCAAGGGACAAACCAAGGAGGTTCGGTTAAAACTTGGTGATAACACAATGTCTCAGACTTCTAACTTCTCGCATTTAGATTTGCAGGGATGGGGTTGGGTTTGTTTTTCTTCCGTTTTTAACTTCTTCCCCATGTCTGCAATAGGACAGGCACTATTAAATAAATTTCATTGTTCACGGAGTGCCTGCCTTCCCAGGGCAGGTAGCCGCTGCCTCATTTCTTCCCAACACTACTTTTATTATGGTATTGAGACCTTTCTTTGTATAATTCATTGCATCTGTGTTTTCAACTTTTTCAAATAAATATTTCAGCCTGGCCGTGGACAATGGGGGTGATAACTGACGAGATGGCTCTGAATTCTGGGTTCCCGTGAAGGCCTCTGAAGATCATGAGATTTATAGGATCCTGTTAACTCTGCACCCTGGGAAATCTAGCATAGAAACATGAGTTTGCATACCGTGTCTTTGTACACTGTCCTGTGGGAACGATGGGCCTGAAAGGGCCAAAGTAGTCAATACTGGAATTTATCTAGAAGGCCTCTTCTCCGCATGAAGGCAGAGGCTCAGCTCTACATGCAAATCAAACCTGCTGTCTTGATGTTGGCTGTCACAATTCCCCTCAGGAACAGAAGCTGCTAACCTCAAGGCCCAACTGGCCACAGCCACCACAGGACTTGTGGAGGGGCTGCCAGATGGGTCTAGGCTGCATGGTGACCTTCGCATAGCGGGATTGGGTGCAACCTCGTGCTGCCAGTGTACAAAGCCAAGGAGAGAGACAGGTGGGAGGGGTTGGTGAACTGTGTTAATTTTTATTGCTGTGACAAAATACTGTTGAATAGAGAGCAAGGATGGGGGACAAGATGCATCCTTCAAGGGACCCATTTCCTCCACCCAAGCCCCACCTCCTAATAGCTCAGGTATGAATTCATCATGAATTAATCCATTAAGTTAGGCGCTGGTGGCTCACGCCCGTAATCTCAGCTATTCAGGAGGCAGAGATCAGGAGGATCACTGTTCAAAGCCAGCCTGGGCAAATAGTTCAGGAGACCCTATCTTGAAAAACCACTCACTAAAAAAAAAAAAAGCAGAAAACCCATCACAAAAAAGGGCTGGTGAAGTGGCTCAAGGCATAGGCCCTGAGTTCAAACCCCAGTACTGCAAAAAAAAAAAAAATACCTTGATGAAACCAGAGTCCTCATGATCCAGCTGCCTCTCAAAAGCCCATCAGCAGGCAATGAAGCCCTTAACATCTGAGCCTGCAGGGGGCATTTTAGATTCAAACCATAACATGCTCCAAATGGCTCATCAAGAAAGGAGAGGTAGGGTGGTGGAGTGGCTCAAGTGGGAGAGTGCCTGCTTAGCACATAGGAAGCCCTGAGTTCAAACATCAGTATCACCAAAAAAAATGAAAGAAAGGAGAGGGCCTGATGGTGCATACCTGTAATCCCAGCTACTAGGGAGGCAGAGGTAGGAGTAGCTCAGTCTGAGATCAGCCCAGGTGAAAGCAAGATTCTGTCTGAAAAACAAAAGCAAAAGGACTGGTAGAGTGTGCTTGCCTAGCAAGTGTAAGGCCCTTCAGTCAGTTCCCAGTACCAGAAAAAAAAAAAAAAACACTCAGAAGCTAGAATGCACAGCAATCAAGCTGGAGCTGCCCCAGGGAGGGTGGGCTGGATAAATATGGCGGGTGGGGACTCTCCTGAAGCTGGGCCTCTCTGTTCCCTGTAGCGGATGCTGGGGTATGCCTGCCCTTTTGGAAGCACTTCTGATAGAACACTCTTGGCCACGGTAGACCACAGGTCACTCCTGGGGCTTCAATGCTGAGCTGAGGGGGCAAGACTGACTTCCCTGGGGGGCACTGTGTTCCAAAGTGACGATATTGTCAGGTCTCCCCAGCAGGACTATCCAGCCAGTTCTTTCTTCCCTCTCAGATGCCCTCCAGCCCTGGATATTATCCACCTGGCCCTGACCATGGTACGGCCTCATGGTGCCCCAGAGGCTGGTACTCACACCTGCAGCCAAGCCCCAATTCTAGGAGGGCAACACAGCTAGCTGGTCACTCAGGCCAGTGTAATATTCTTAGGAGTTGTGAGACCAGGTCACCAGAGTGATGCTGCCCTGCCACTAAAGGGGGATAGGAAGTTAGGGTGGGGACCAAATTTGCCCAGGGACTTGAGGAGGGTCCCTCTAAAGTGAAAAGACACGGAGGGTTAAGATGGGCAAGTGGAACACAACCCAGCTGAGCCTCTGCTTGTCAGCCCAGGCTCTCAACATGCTACCCCATGTAAGGTGGATCTGTGAAGATTACTTTGGAGTGAATAAGTGAGTTCTCTTTCACACGGCATTCTTACGACACTTCATGCACGTTTTATGCATCCATCCATTGTGTAAACACTGACTTGTTTCCTGAAAATTTGCAATCACAAGCCAAACATGGTGGTCCATACCTGTAATCCCAGCCAATTGGGAGGAGGAGGTTGGAGGATCTTGGCCCAAGTAGTTTTTCCTGACAATTCCTTCTGGGAATGATGCCAGCGGCTCCCACAGCATCCACCTGTCTCATGCACTCAGAACAGCTCTTCACCTGATCCCGTTTTTTTCACTTTGTTTTCATTCTGGTTTTGATAATAGGTCGGCTAGGTGGGTTTTTTTTTTTTTAATGTTTCTCCAATTTATTTAATAATTTTTATGAATTTTTATTAAGATATATTCATTATATGGGGCGATTCAGAGACAATTTCAATTAGACTTACAGTGTACATTATTTACATTGCCCCATCGTCTCTCCCCCTCAGCCCCCTCCCCACTTAGTTCTGTTTCTTATAGCTATAAGAACTCCATCTACCATATTCCTCACCTTCTCCTCCTTCATTCACCTCGTCTCCACTACTCCCCCTCTACTCCCCCCTCACTGTGCCTGTGTCACAGCCCTGTCTTTCACTATTAATATCTAAGCCGGTGTTCAAAGGGGTTTCCCAGTGTGACCCCGCTGTGAGCCTACTTTACTTTGGTCCATTCAGCCCCTCCCATTGCTCTCCCTCACCCCTTCACCTCCCACCCCCATTTCACCAGCTTTCAGTGCACATCCTTACGTCCTCCACCTCCACAGATGCTATGTTTTACGATATAACTGATGCTGTCATTCTCTTTCCTTTCAGAATTTTTTTTTATCCTTGCTCAACCATTCCTGTGACCATTGTTTCCAAAGTTGTATCTGACCCTGTCACCTCCTTCCCTTGACTTTTAATAGTTTTCCACTGCTTTTTAAAACTGAAGTGACAGGTGCCAGTGGCTCCCACCTGTAATCCCAGCTACTCAGGAGGCAGAGATCAGGAGGATCATGGATTGAAGCCAGCCTGGGCAAATAGTTCACGGGACCCTATCTTGAAAAAACCTATCACAAAAAAGGGCTGGTAGGAAAAAAAAAAAAAAGGGCTGGTGGAAAAAGAAAAAAAGGGCTGGTGGAGTGGCTCAAGTGGTAGAACGCCTGCTTAGCAAGTATGAAGCCCTGAGTTCAAACCCCAGTACTGCCCAAAATAATGAAATAAAATAAAATAAAATTGAGATAAAAGTTGGGCTGGGATTGTGGCTTAAGTGGTAGAGCACTTGCAAGCACAAGTCCGTGAGTTCAATCCCCCATAAAAAACTTTAAAAATTAAAAAAAATGATAAAATGGAGGTGAGAGATCACATATTATGAAGTCAGCCATGTTAAAAGTGTGCAGTTCAGGTATTTAGCACATCGTGCTACCACCGCCTCTACTTACAAAACACTTTCAGCACCCTAAAAGAACCCACCTTTCACCCATTAAAATACTCATTCTTCACCCTCTACCCCCTCCCCAGCAACTAGTAATCCCTTCTTCTCTTTCTCTATGAAACAATACATTAGAGACAGAATTATAAACCACAGAGGAACTATGGAATATTTAAAGCTGTAATGTTACATTTTTATGAATATATCCATATTTAGGTGTGCACAAAAAATTTACAACATAATTGAAAGGCACGGCACTAGAATATATACCCCAAAGAAAATTTTGTTTTTATCTGAACTGCTTTATTTATTTTTGTTCATTTAAAAAAGATTTGGGGGGCTGGAGACCTAGCTCAAGTGTAGAGTGCCTACCTAGCAAGAGGGAGGCCCTGAATTGAACCCCCATTACCACCAAAAAAAAATGGTTTAAAAAGTGTCAAAAGTATTTAACAAAATGTCATCATTTGTTTATTCTAGGTGCTGGATTCTTTTGTATCTGTTATTCATACTTTTCTGTATTTCACATTTTTCCTCAAAAGCTATATATAAAATATACTTGTAAAAACAGATGTAGGTGAGATCACTTACTAAAAGTGCGGTTGAGTAGAAAGTTGCAGCAGACTTGTTCTGTCTCAGTTGCAACAATAGAATACCTGAGACTAGGTAATTTATAAAGACCAAAGGTTTCTTTATCTTACTGTTTTGGAGACTGGAAGTTCAAGATCAGTTAGCTTCATTTGCTTGGCTTCTGGTGAGGATCTCATGCTGATCTATGCATGGTGAAAAAAGCAGAAGAGTAAGCGGGGGGAACAAAAGGGCCTACTCATTTTGTAATAACCCACTCTTATGAGAACCAGTCCATTCCTGCAAGAACTAATCCAGTCTTTCAAGAAAGATATTAATGATTTTTAAAAGCCCCCACCTTCCAACACTGCTACATTGGCAACCAAACTTCAACTTGAGTTTTGGCAAGGACAAACCACATCTGAACAGTAGCACAGTCTGTAGGTTGTTTGGGGGAAATTTATAGGTAGTAAGTCCACAAGGATGAATAAATGAGTTTTTAATCCATACTTTGAGCATAATTCTGCTAGAAAGCATGCATTTGCCAGGGGTAATAGCACAGTTCTTTTCACCAGCTATGTCTGGAATCTGCAGCCAGACAGAAAACACAAAGCCTAGTTTAGCAAGGGTGGAGATTGGTAAAAAAACAAAAAACAAACAAAAAAACAGGGCCAGATGTGTTGGTGCACTGTAATCCCAGCTAGATGGAAGGCAGATGTAGGAAACTCTCCAAGCTGAGGTTGCCCAGGCAAAACCACAAGATCCTATCTGAAAAACGGACGAAAGCAAAAAGAGCAAGGGGCATGGGACAAGTGGCAGCGCACTTGGCTAGCAAGCCCAAGGTTCTGAGTTCAACACCCCATATCGCAAAAAAAATCAAAAATCAACAGAAATTTTCCAACTGTGTTCGGGTGCTCTGTTCCTGGAAGTCCCAGAAAACTTTGGCACCTGCCAGGGTCTGTTCTGAGCAGGACTGGGGCTCTCAAGGAGAAAAAGCCCTGGAGAAGCTTACTACCCTAGGAGGCCTGGGTTCCTTGTGGCAGAATTAAAGCCCTGTCCTATGGAAAAGAGTAAGCAAGCCAGGTGCCAGCGGCTCACTCCTGTAATCCTAGCTACTCAGGAAGCAGAGATTAGGAGATCGCGGTTCAAAACCATCCTGGGCAAATAGTTCAGGAACCCCTATCTGGAAAAACCCTTCACAAAAATAGGGTTGGTGGAGTGGCTCGAGGTGAAGGCCCTGAGTTCAAACCTCAGTACTGCAAAAGAAAAAAGAGGGAGGGAGGGGGAGAGCCAGAGACAAAGGGAGGGAGGCGGGGGGGGGTGGGAGGAAGAAAATAAGATGGGGCTTCCCCAGTCTGAGGTGCAGGAGCAAAGGACAGAAACCACGTGCTGCTCTTCCCGCCCTGGGACGCGCTCTGGCAGCTGATTGGGGGGCGGGCTAGCCTTGTTGCTAGGCAACCAGCCTCTCTCGCGTGAGTCGCCCCGCAGTGACATAACACGCGCGCGGTGCACGTCGGGACCGCAGGGTTCCAGCCTGACTGGGCCCTTCGTGGCCCACCAGAAGCTGCGGCCTGGGTTGGCCAGGGAGGCTGAGGACAGGTCCTCGCGTTTGGGACCGGCCAAGTCCGGGGCCCGCCTGGATGTGGCGTGGTCCGGTAAGTCCCTGCTGCGCCCTCGGAT